ACAGTTAAAAATTATCCTTGTATAAAATGCATTCATGCCGATAGAACCATATAGTGCTACTAAGCGTTAAATTTTAGTAATGTTAAAAATTATATCTGGGAAGAGCTGACATTTAAACTGGCAAATGTTAAAATAAAAAAAATATTTTAGTGATAATTCCTTTTAAAGTCTGTTTTGTGTCTGATTCTTGGAAGTCATTTTGGTAATTCTCTAGGAAATGTTTTGTTGCATTATCAAATTTCCCATTCTTAAAAGGTAAACGTCTAATCACATAACTGTATTTGCATCATAAAATGTGATTTACTTTCATGAATGTGTTTGTGATACGGTATTCATTACTTGTAATATTAATTCATTATTTTCAGAAACTTTATTTTGTTTTCTAAATTATTAAAACAGCCTACTAAAACTATCTATTTTTGTAGCAAAATTTACTTGCGGTGACGTCACGAGTTCATAATAAAACCGTATTTGTCAATAGAAACTATCCCAACCAGGAAAATGGCATGGACACTTGTCAAGTGACTGTAAAAAAGCCGGGATAATGTGCGCCGATAGAGACTGGATACCCATGAATTCTTCCTTTTCGAACCAGGCGAGATGGGTCTGTGCGCTATAGATTCTTTCATGGTACGTTTTGCAATTGGAGAAAGACTTCCAGTATTGTGCGTAACACATAACACAGAACAACACTCTCAAGTTATTTTTTAGTAAATTACGATTTCTTCTAATCAGTCTTGTCTAAAGACCTAAGGTTATCTTCTCCACCATCTAAAATTTTTTAAAGAATAGCTATAAAATTTCCTTCTTCTAAATCATTAACGCAGTGAAAAAATTTCATCAAAATACATTTTTATGTCATTTTCAGCTGATCAAAATAGAATAAAATGCTTTTACGGAATTCAAGGTTTAAAGAGATGTTGCAAGTAGATTTCATATAACATTCAAAATTGTATGCATGAAATTTTTATACTTGGAAATCTAATTTTGCTTTACGACGATTTACATGCAATTACATTTACATACGCGAAAAGCACTGAAAAAGCTATCATATCAATACACGCCTTTTTACAGCAGGTGGTTTGTATAAAGATTAATGCAGATCCCAGTTTTGGATATAATAGCTTAACATTTTTCACAACACATTTCTGTAAATATTCTTAAATGTATGAAATTTCCAAGTTACACAAGTCAGAAAATAGTTTAAAGTCTAGTCAGCAAACAGGAAAAAATAATAATATTTTTAAAATTAACCTTTTTTTTCACAGCATACTGTTCTTTCGAAATAAATATTTACAGTAAGAATAAAGGTCTTCATCTTTAAACATAAAACTATGAATCGACAGGATCATTTTAATATTATAGTTTTTGCCGAAGATGAAACCATTTGCGAAGCAGTCGTGGTGGGACAGAGATAGCAGATAGATGAAAGTTGGTACATTGTAGATAGTAATAGGAGAAAAAATTCACAATTAGATTGTGCAATCATTATGGTTAAAACATCATTTTTATTTCTGGAACACGAATTTATAGCACATATCTACACATTATTTAAATACTGACTGAAATCGTAAGTACCTTAACCTGTAAAATCAGAGTGATTTCAGATATTTAAAAAAGATGTTTGGAATTAGTCCTTACTTTGAAAGTAATCGACGTAATAAATAAACTTATTAATTAATTTTGATTTAAATAAATTGTGGCATCTCAATGTTTCCGGTCCTTTTGTTTGCAAACTTTAAGATATATATGTATTTAAGATGTTTGGAAAGATAATAATGCAATTAACATACTATTTTTGCTTAATGTATTTACACTGAGTATTATCCTTTTTAAAGTATGCATTTTGAAATTCTGCATTTCTTAGTTACATACTAGTTTAACTCTTGAAAGCAGGATCATTTGAATTTTCTTTATTAAGCAAGGAAAATGGTTTAAAAATAGCTTGCATTACGGAATAATTTATCTAATTTCATTAAATAAAACTACCTTTGATTGTACAAATCAGGGGTAGCCAAAGTGCGGCTTGCGAGCCTGATACAGCTTTCACAGGCAATTTGTGCGGCTCATGCATATAAAATATATGTATGAAATATGGTAAACTAAAAACTATTCAGTCTCCAAAAGGAAGTAATTAATTAGTTTAGACTCATTTTACAAAGTTTCAGAGATTTCTTTCTATTTAAAACCTTCCCACTACTTCTATAATGATGTAAATATGAACTTGCGGCTTTTAGAAAATCTAGATGCGGCTCTCGAACATTCCTGAATTCAAACGTGAGGCTCTTACTGGTATGAAGGTCAACCCTGGCAACCCTGGTTACTTAGCCAACCCTGGTATAAATCTTTAAAATAAAGTAGGTCTCATTACTTATTGATTAATTTCTTGTATAAGCCTAAAATGCGATTTTTATGATGACAGACTCAATATTTTCAAGAACATCTTTAATACATTCTCTTATAGCTCCAGCAGGTTCCGTCAAGTGTTTCCAAAATCCCACCGACATCGTAAGAGATTTCAATTATGGACCAAAAATTGACGGCTATGTATGGTACTTAAGCAATCTCTTCTACACCTGTTAAGTAAGAACAGAACTTCTGTTCCATCAAACAGAAACAAAAAAAGGTCTAGGACCATTTTCTTAAAATGCACTCCCCGATGGTAGAGTTAGCGGTTCCATCTGCAGTGTAGACGACTTCGTTGGAATTGACTAAGGAATTGAAGATGCCCTGGCATCTGGAAAGGATCGTTTCTGTGGCACAAAGCTTCATGACAGAGATTTACTTGCATATCGGTTCTAGGAAAAAAAACTACCACAGGAAAAACGCCCACAGGAATAATGCTCACAGGTATAAATGCTCACAGGAAAAAAGCCCACACAGAAATATGCCCACATAGAAAAATACACACATGGAAAAATGCTCACCTAGAAATATGCTCACACGAAAAAAAGCTCACATAGATATATGCTTACATGAAAATAAGCCTACTGATAAATAAAATACGTATAAATATTCTTCCATTAATACAGTAATCAATCAATAATTAATCAATTTGAACGTCGTACACCTACTTGAATTTTTTAAAGAAGAATTACTTGATCATTTGGAAAAAATATTGGACAAATGCTCATATTAACCTTTTTAGAGACGGTATATAAAAGAATGAAAACTATAGTAAAATTTTGCATGTACTGCAATTTTTATACCACTGCCTCCTGTACGACATTTTTTTCCTGTAACTGCCAATAGTTTGTTTTTGTTTTTTATTTACTCTATTTTTGCATACTTTTGATGTGTATCTATAGAAATTGATGTTTGAATGTAGTTATTTAAGTTTGGACCCAAAAAGTTCTAGAAGACCACAGTTTCCAATCGAAGTGTGCAATCATTATGAAGCAGCTTCCGAAAATCTCCTAAAACAACAAATTATTACGAAAGCTTTCATACGGTACTAAATTCATTACTTAAATGTAGCCATCCTAGTATGTGGTTTTTGTTTGACGGACTGAAAAAGATTTAGCCTGTCAATGTTTATTACTAGCTATTCTAAATACAGAGCGTACTAAAGTTTAAAAAAAATGTGAAAACTTACATTTGGTAATCGCGAATCATGTAAGAAACTATGATGAAATCAATGATAAAATTAGATATTTACATCTATTAGCTAATATTCAGTAAGTTTGTAGAGACATTAGGTATTTTGGAAGCAGGAGATGTGAAAAATGAGCAAAGAATTCGCCGAAAATCGAACCACGGAACTCTGGAATACGCGGCCAGCGTGCAGACCACCATACCACGAAGGCATGCTAAGAAGGCCGGATATTATGCTAAGGCATGCTAAGATCCTGTTTAAATATACATTATTTATATATAACAAAGTATTTTACGTAATTTAGATAAAATAATTATTTCTATTTGCTTATTCTTTTAAATTCTAATGCTTATTCTTCTAAATGTGTAACTTATACTTACTATTATTTTTTAACAAATAAAATTGTAATAATTTTTTGCTGTATATTGTGTTTCATTTTTCTTCCTTCCTCCTCTAGTTTTCCTTATTCAGAACGGCCCATTTGTTAATCTTATATAGCAACTAAATCTACACATAAGTTATACAGTTTTATATATATATATAGATGTTTTGGTAATTTAAATAATTTTTCTTTGAAAATTCAAGTACGTGTACGATGTTTAAATCGATTAATTATTGATTGATTAATGTAAGCATATTTCTACGTATTTTATTTATCAGTGGCCTTATTCTTCTTTTATTCTGAGCATATATCTATGTGAGCTCTTTTCCGTGGGAGTATATTTCTAAGTGAGCATTTTTCCATGTGAGCTTTTTTCTATGTGGGCATATTTCTGTGTGGACTTTTTTCCTGTGAGCATTTATACCTGTGAGCATTATTCTATGAGCATTTTTCCTGTGGGCATTTTCCGGCCACCGTAAATATCTATATAAGTATATTTTATGAGACTTTGCAAATTATGCTCTAAGCAAGTCTGAAAACTATAAAGAACTACATAAAATTGTTGCTGAAATACGCTTTGCAATTATATATGGCTTATGGGTATGCTAAATATATACTAACAGTAATGCGAATGAGGAAAATGTTTTTTGCGTATATGAATTTTGTTTTAGCGAAAGTTGAAGAAAAGAATAAAAAACATATAAAAAGCTAAAATAAATTTTAAAGAATTTTCTTATTTTCTTAAAACGAAAAGGAAAATATTCTACTTTTGATATAATTAAACAATAGAATTACACTTTTTACACAAATTGACATTATTCCGAAATGATGTCGGTATAATATTGATTAGGCATAAATGTGGAGCAATTACGCTACATAAACAGGGTATGATTTAGTTTCTGAATGTGGATCGAAAGAATTACGCACTTTAATGTTTCGCTTACAGCATTTTATAAATGTACGGTTCTGAGTTAGGTCCTATCTATGTAATTATATTCAATCATCCTTCAAAAAAGAATCCTATTTGGAGCAAAATATTTATTTCAAAAAAAGACAAAATTTTTTAATTTTACAATTGGGTAAGCAGATGAAAAATACAGATTAATTTGCTTCTACAATGATTTTAGCAACTACATTTATTTACAAGATCGAATACGAACATGAAAAATACACATATACTCACATACGAAATGATTATTAAGTCTATTCTGTAATAAAAAGCATCTTTTCTGAGTAAATTACATGCAGTTGGTCATTCTAGGTGAAAAAATGTTTTCGATATTAAATATTGAAATTTCTTGAGAAAATTACAAAATGTTTTATTTCAAATTATTACCATTTAAAAATTAATAAAAAGTCAGCAGATTAGCAAAAATTGAAAAAATTATGTCGTTTATTTCATAAAATTCATTTCAGTTTCTAAAGATTTATCAAAGATATATTTGAGACGAATGATTCAGAATCAGACATGTCTATAGAAATGTTAAAACGCATTACTTATGTTAAGTTCTTTTAACACATATGGTAGATAAAGTTAAAAAATTTTAAATAATAGGATAAAGTTAACACTTATGATAGATAAAGTTAAAATTTGCTTTAGAAAAATAATTTTCAACTTTATTGAATAATTTTAATATCTAAATATACAATATAAATATATTTATTACTATTGTCACAACTGACAACTAAAATAAAACATTTTTTACATCACAAGAAGCAACAATATGTTAAAATACAACAAATATTTTACCATAATACGATACGTAAATAATATTAAAGGTTTACTTATGTAGCCGTCGTCTCAAAAGCGTCAACTGGGCACAATGAAATGATTACGAAAAAGGGTGATAGATGGCAGCACTAGTCATATTTAAAACGATAAGTCGAAGACTTAGCGCTGCTGTGACATAGAAGAAAGGATATATCAATCAAAATTTTTGAGAAAAATACGAAAAACAACTCACAGAGTGTCACTTATAATCTCTTAACACATAAGTGACCCAAAATATCGTAGGATTTTTTTCAATATCCGACGATTGCGTCACTTAAACTTTTTGCCCCTCATCTTTCCGTTATACGGTTGTCATATTTAACATATGTTCGAGAAAAGGAATACAATAATTAAAAAAAAAAAAAAAAAAAAAAAAAAAAAAACACAGTATTTAATTTTTGTTGCTTCCCTGTCTTCCACAACATGCTTACAGTTTTGTACATTTCCTGCTTAAATTTGGCTTTCGTCTCCCCCTTTGAAGTTGCTAGAGTGACCTTTATCTCCCACACTACCTCTTGCAGAGATGGAAAACTTCCGAGTATCCAGCATTTCTACCTCTTCCCTGGCAGCGAGTTCAGCATCCATTTGATCTAATTCCTTCTTGGACAAGTGGTAAACTATTCCAGCACCGAAAGCATCTCCAAGAACATTAACAGATGTCCGGATTCGGTCGCTGAAATGCGGGAAAAAAGATTAGAAAATGCTGTACATCATAAGAAAGAGGGTAATATCTGCATATCAGAATTAAAACCTAAAACTAATACAAAATGAATGATGTAATAATATGACAAAGTCAAAAGCATTTTAAAAGAAGGAAGAGGTCTGAATTATTTTTAATGATCATTAGTGAAAACTGTTGTTCTTCCACGCTTCATGTTACATCTCCTGAATCAATACTCATATTGTAGAAAGAGCTTGAAACTTAATAACTACCAATTTTTGCCAAGTTATTCTAAATAAATCAGCGCGTAAGTGATCACAACATCAATGCTGGCTTTTCTGAGTGGGACACTTAATACATTTCGATTCAAATGTACTTGCTGGATTTTTGTGTTAAAAAAAGAGAAATACGAGATCGTGGACTTCTATTACCCGAAGTGCTATCAGAGTTCAGTATACTTTTTTGTCCAGTTATATTTGCATTTACCAATCTGTTGTCTGACGTTCACGATTTAAATTCTACTCGCATTTCGCCGTCATATAAACAACGTATTAAGGTTTATTCGATTTTCTCACGTTGACATTCGCATGTCTGTTGTCATAAGCACTTTGAAGCACAGCTTCTGTTGTTTGAATATTTTATAAGTACTTATCACAGGACTTGTAATAATTGTTCGCTTGGTTGCTAGCAAGCTGATCCTCTCCTGGCATTATTGGGTGTTATTAGTCAAAAATAAGAAGGAGATGAGGCAGATAGCTGTTATATATATATGCATTCATTAGATTAAATAATCCAACATTATTAAGTTTTATGTTTAATTTCCTATTGGCTATAAATGCTTAAGATGAAAACCCCCAGATATATCAAAAGTCACCATTTTTTCTCTCAAAGTTCGATAAATTCTGAGCAAACGATGTAATATTTAAGAAATACACTGATGACCCAACACACTGGTACACCTGCCTAATGTAGGGCCCCCGCGAGCACGCAGAAGTGCCGCAACACCATGTGGCATGGACTCGACTAATGTCTGAAGGCGTGCTGAAGGTAATTTACGCCATGAATCCTGCAAGACCCTCCACATATCCATAGAAGTGCGAGGTGATGGAGACCTGTTATGAATACCACGTTGTTAGGCATCCCCAAAATGCTCAATAATGTTCGTATCTTGGGATCTATTTGTCCAATGGACGTGTCTAAACTCAGAAGAATGTTCCTGACTCGGTAGCAACTCTCGAGATGGGCATTGTCGCATTTTCCTACTTGAAATGTTCAAATTCATCGGAATGCACAATGGACAAGACTGGGTGCAAGTGACTGGAGAGGATACTCACGTATCTGTCACCTGACAAAGGCGTATTTAGACGTATCAGGGGTCCCATATCACGCCAATTGCACACGTTCTAAACCATGACAGATGAGCCTCCACCAGCTACAACAGCCTTCTGATTCCATGGATTAATAAGGTTGTCTCGATAGCCATACACACACAGCCCGTACACATTGGTCGCAGCGATGTTGGAGATTTTTATGTTTTATCGGATTCCCGATATTCACGGTACACTCGTGAAATGGTCGTATGCGAAAATCAAAATTTTATTGCTACGTTGGAGATGCTATGCCCCATTTTCGTGCGCCGACTGTAAGACCACGCTCAGACGCACTTAAATTTTGATAACCTGCCATTGTAGCAGCAATAACCGATCTAAAATCTTTGCCAGACACTTTTTGTCTCATATAGGCGTTTCGGACCGCCGCATTTTACTTTCATTGGTTCCATATTTCTGTTACTTGCATTACGTACGCCAATAATAGTGATTTTTGGCTCTTCAGTTGTATAAGAAAACATTTATCGCTGACTGCAGTTTCTTTGGAGCTTAGTCCTTGCTGTATACATAATCCTTTTACGGCGCAAACACAAGAAGGCACGGGACATCGTTTGATGTATACTCCGCATTAGCAAGCAGTTTCTGAATTCCTGAACCCTTAGAGCAGAGGAACAATGCATTTTTATTAAGAAGGCACATTTTTGACAATGAAAAAGACCTTGACTGAGACTTGTCTTGTGACTGCCCTCGAAAGGTTCGATGATATACACATATAAGCAAAACAGATAGGAGCATTATACGTAAAGCATTTTCGATTTGTTTTGTTTTTTCATTAAATTACATTTTAAATAAACAAATGCTGCACTTAACTCTTTCAAGTAATAAGCATATAATAGGAAATTATTTAAAAATATTAATCTAATCTCTTAAGCAAGTGAGCAATAAATATACCCATACCTATTGGGTAATGTTATCATCAAATCTAAAAATATATGGAACTGCGGATTACAGCAATGGATATAAAACCCAGTGGTAGTTATTTTACTCACCATAAAATAATTAATGATAGATAACTTTGAAATATAAATATGTACATATATTTCAACGATATCGTCTCTAATGCATCATTTCTCAAACAGAATAAAAACTAGAAATCACAGTGCACCGCAAACGATCTCTAAGGATTTTCCACAAATTATTTTGATGAATAAAATACTCATATTGAATTCTACACTCATACATAAATACGGAACTAATTAACTGGAATGCTTATGTAAAAAATATCTGAAATATAAATGTTATAATGTTATGTCACAGGTTCTTCAGCGATATATAGGTTGAGAGGTTTAGATTATCCTAGAAGCAAGCTAAAACGCCCATCCTTTTTTTTTTTTTTTTTTTTTGTGGGAATCTTATGATCGCGAATTGAATTCTATATTTATTAAGAGATATATAATGTAAATTATGTTTTTTTTTATTTTAAAATTACAACGTATCTACAAAAGTGATCCGTCAAAGGCAGCATAAAACAAGTCATTCTAACTCTCGTCTTCTAACACAGAAATGATTAGAGCTAAGAATATGAAAAATGTATGAGAATAATACAGAAATACGCTGAAGTAGTGTATCGTAAAAGGTGTGGTCTGGGAAGCTTAATGTTATGCGAGAAATGCCTAGAAATACTTTTTTACGTAAGAGTTACCTCAGTTGTGAATAGTATTCCAAAGACACCACAGAGTGCTTTCAAATGTGGTTCTACAAAATTCTGCTTTAGGAAATACGTAAAACTGTAGCAACTGCTTTAGGAACAAATAACTGAGAGTCTGGTCAGTAAAATTAATTAACTACAACTAAGGCTACACGTGGAAGTAATAAATACGTAATCATGGTTCAAAAATACCTATTTAAAAGATTTTATACATTTCCCAGCCTACTGTTTGTATTTTAACCCACTAATGTTTGAAAAAATTAATAAATAAAACGAATAAATAAAGCATAACAATTGTACAAAATTCATGTCCAAAGAAATCTTGGGAATAGAGCTTCCATATTACAAGACCCCAGCAAGAAATAAGGCACTGTGATCATCGTTACTATCAAGACGCTTTTTTATACTACTTCACCCACTGTGTTTCTTACTCTACAGTAGGATAATGCGATTGTTAAGCTGTTACAAAGATTTTCACAGCATGCAACTATGCACGTGACAGCATTACTCGCATTTTCGGATAAACTTAAAACTGCATTCTAATAACAATTGCTTAAAATTACTTTGGGATCAGTGTACAACACATGCAAGGATGATTAGGGATGGATCGAATATCTTCTCGTCATTTCACATATAACTGTAGGAAGTCAGTTAAAATATTTAAAAATCAACATTTAAGTTCTGGACAATTCTTCTAAACTTCAGAGACAGTCATTTGAAACTGAATAAAGCAATTTTGAAACAAAGGCTTCTTATGTTAAACTTTCTAAGAGTTGATATTTCAGTCAATGAATTCGAAGGTTGGAGAGATACGGAAAGAAGGTATATGAAAATAATAGCAATTTATACTACCTCATAACATAAATAACAAGTAAAAATTTCCCTTAATAGAAAATAGAAAGTACTCACAGCAGCCAGTCGACAGCAACGATCATAGAAATGTCCTGAGTTGGTAGTCCAACAGCAGTTAGAACCAACAACATTGTCACTAAACCAGCGCTTGGCACACTAGCAGCTCCGATACTGGCAGCAGTGGCAGTTAAGCTGAAAAAATAATACAGTTTTAGGACAGTAGAGATTCCAGCAATCTGGAATTCAGTTGCCTGGAACTCCGGTTTAATTTTTGTTTTTCTTTAAATCTAAAGAAAATTAAACTTATTATCGATTTGTTTACGTTTTGAATTTCTTTTGCTGTTTATAAAAAGGAATCACTGAATTAATTTGGATAAATGAGTATGATATACAGATTAGCCTACATGCTCAACAATTATGTAGCTCTAGAATTATGTAGAATACGTTATCGAAAAAATTCCACTTATACAACTCTTCGTTAAACTCCAGTTTTTGGTAATAACAAAATCGTTAGCAATAGGAAAATTGTGTTTATTTACATTTGAAACAGGTTTCATCAGAATATAGGTATTTCATCTCTCGGATATTCAAGTTTATTGTTATTTTGTCAGAAATGTCTGAGTGAGAGTCTGGATTATAATTAGTAGTAAATTCAATTTACTTGAGTTTTCTGTTTAAACAGATTTAATTGATCTAAATAATTCTTGATTTACTCCATGAGTATAAAGACAATAAAAGCTATAATGTAATTAAAAAAATTTTCTGACGCTTTTACTTTAAATGGAACAAGATTAAATAAATATTCTGCGAAAATGTTTTAACACAAGCACTAATAAAAATTACAGTTATTTATTCTTCAATATCTACGACCTTCAGGTATACCAGGAAACAGAAATTAAACTTCTCTTATATTTGTACATAATATAACTCTGTACTTTCAATCGAGATATATATTTTTAGTTGTAACAATATAACGAGAACCTAAATCTTTCTGAATATAACAAAACCTCAATTACCCGAAATGAGTGGGACTAAGATGTGTTTGAGGAATTGTTTTTTCATATTTAAAAAAAATGGCTATTGCAGATAAATCAGTTTATTCCCCAAATTACATTTTTGATTTTAACTAAAACATATTTTTTTCAGAACATTAAGTATATAACTTTGAAATCAAATACATTTTTCAGCGAAGCATACAAAAAATTAGAATAAAAATACAATACACGTGACAAACACTCATTATTATTTATATTTCCAAATTATGATACATAGTCAATGTCTTTGCCGTTTCCCTTTTGTTTTAATTATTTGATCGTTTTTAACTTCATGTTAACTAAAAACAAAATTCTATTGTATTTAAGTATCATAAATAGGAATAATAGACTCCTAAAAAAGGTTTTTATTTCCTTCTTTCTCGCCTTTCTCTTTCGTCCAGGTTGAAGATCTAAAGCAAGCTGATAAAAAGGATAACTTCTTATTATTACGGTTTCGACTATCTAAAAGTTATAATACTATCAATAAATCGCGAAAATATGTCTCAAACAACTACCAAACGGTCTGCAGTCTTATCCATGAAAGCTCCATAATCTGCACCCTTTGAAAATCATTCTGAATAGACTACATGTTATCTTTATACCTCTGTCGCCTTTTTATAAAAAGACAAGAAACGTTTAGCAATTTTTAAATTCCTAAGAAGTGAAAGAAAGATGCAAAGGTATTTCGGACGTTCGGCGAACATTTGCGACATATATTGGTGATTTGTTGATAATATTGCGGCATTTAAAAACGAGGGACTGTAATAATAAAAAAATGCTGAAAAAACTTTACAAAAAGTGTAAAAAGACTCTAAGGTAGGGTATAGGATAAAAGCGTATTAATTAAGCAAAATCTCGGAATTCTAGTCTCTAAAATACAATGAATTACAGAAAGAACGAAAAGAAGTTTTCGAAGAATTTTGCTCATGACAACTATACCCTTTCCACAGTTTTCGATGACACCAGTCCAAACAAATATTAACATGTTCAGGGATACTCACTACTCGATATTCGGATAGGAACGGTTCTATCTATCTGTCATTACGACACTCTAAGATACAGGAAACCAAAAATCAGTATTAATTATTTGAAACAGAACTTAAATATGACTATTATTTCTTAATCTTAAATTTTTGTGTGGCTGGCAAAATATTTCAGTCTGAACAAAAATTAATATAACAGAAGCTGCGATAGGCATCTTAAACAATGATTATAATTGTGAAAATAACCCTGAAGAGAATTAGTGACTAAATTTCTCTGAAAGAATTGTGCAAATGAAACTTGAAGAGAAAGAACTTGAGAATAAAACTCATTTTCTGTAGTTATATACTACGTACCTATAGAGTTCAAGAAATGATGGTAAGTAATTTCAGCGAACCTCCTAGAGATTATTGATGCTAGTAATTAATGCCTGATCTTGACTTTGTTCGCCCTAAAAGTATCACCAGTTAAAGCAAAAAGGTTTAGATGGAGTTTGTGTTTTAATTTATATACTTGATATCTGCTCTAACCGATTCGTAAGCTGTCAAATAAAACCCAACGAGAATTTGATTAAAACCCAGACAGTAATCTCATTTTATTTTAAATCATCATTACCGCATTATCGGAAATTGAAGTTTTGTTTATAACCCAAAAGCAAATAATGCGATTATCTGCATGAGTAGGAAAAATTCGGTTCGTACCGACAAATTTCGCTTCTAGAAATCCTGAATAAAGATGATGTTAATAGTCTTAACAGCCCCCTTTTTCTCACAGGAAGGAATGAATGAAAAACGTTTACCGAAATAAAAAGAAAGAAGTTTCTTACAGTCCATAAAAATATTTGATTTCTGAAAATATTTTCAGGCATTAGGAGAGAAAAGGTTCAAACATATAACAAATTTTTGTTGGCTTTCTCATACTTCAACTATCGTCAAGCTTCTGATTGAGAAGAAACTAAGTTGCTTTTATTAATCCGATCCTAAATCGCAAGAATTTGCATTTAGCAATAACAATCTTTCTCGTTTCTAAAGTGAAATCTTCCTTCCAAAGGACGATTTTCCATTATTTTTGGAAGGATTTCAGAAAACAAGGAAATGCAAATAATAAAAGAAAATAATAAAACAGCGTTTTAAGGGTTCATTTCTGCAAACGTTCCGATATATCTTACAAACAATCTTTGCTTGTTTGTTTTATCAGTTGGAAAGCACGCGCTGATTATTTGCAAAATGCAGAATTGCCTTGAGGGAGGACTTCGTAAGTTGAATTGGCAAGTATTCATAATACATAAGGAGGGGGAAGAGAACGTGAAACAACCCATTCCATCCCATTCGCCAGAATACTAACTGAACTAATAAGAAATATTACGACATTACAAAAAATGTATGTAGAAGGTTAAAACGAACGTAGTTGTTTTCTTGACATCTCAGTATATATAATGAAAACAAGAAAAAGACGTAGCATTGTTGATGCGTAACACCTAGACACGATAGATCGTAGATCCATATTGAAGAGGAAGACTTCTTATTGCGTAGTATGCTAATATATTGAGTTCGTAATATCTAAGAAACATGGCAGTCGAGGTAATTTTAATTCCATTTTTTTTAATTCACATTTGTGACCACAGCTTACATGGCACTCTAAACGTGCCTTTCCAGAACATTTACTTTTTTGATATTATTGAGATAGGAAGCGAGCACAACGAAACAGCCACCAAGTAGCACAGAAGTTCAAGCTGAAAGTGGCGCATTTATCCAGTACGACAGGCTGTTAAGAGGTAAGTTTTGGCTTAGGTTACGAAAGTTTTAGTTTCTTAAGAGTTACGTCATCAGCGTTGCGCAGGCCATGCAAGATCGAACTAGAAATAACGCAGAGAGGTTATTACTATTTTTAAAACAGAGAGGAAGAATTAAAGGTTCATCGTTAGTTTAAATTATAATTTTGATTTACATATTTCTTATCTTATATATAAGAGAGATTTGTAGATAATTATAATAGAATGGCAATGATTTATTACTTTTATTAACTTTGAGAGGCTTTTTGCGTGGATAGCACGATGAACTTGCAGATAGACGTAGCAATAGATTCAACATAATTTTATTAGTGGGCAACATAACTCGTCAGACATAACATCTGATTCACACCGTTATGTGCGCAATATGCACAATGCAGCTTTGGAAGCTTAGCACATCTTAATACAATGAATGACAGACAGAAGCGAGCGGAGACATGCCACTTGGACGCAGACAAGCGGGAAGTTTACATTCAGAAGAAAAACGAGGGAGAAATAAAAAGAGTTTCGCTTTCAATAGAAGTCTTATTCAATGAGGAATAAGAGCTGTTTGCATTTCAGCGTTAGGAGAGATCTTACGATGCGGATTAATTCTGAAATGATTCAGCTTAGATTGATATGTTATAAATAGATACAGTCAAAAGTCTTTAATCCGGGCTCGTCGGGACTTCGGCGATTCCGGATTATCGATTTTTCCGGATTATAGATCATCAGTTTAAATCTGGTAAGATGGCATGCAGAAATTATAAAATTAAAAATATGAAACCGTAATTTATAAAATAATGAGCAATTATGATCTAAAGGGTATCAAAATTTACCAAAAAAGAAGCCTAATATTTATTTGTTTACTTTATTAAACATTTCTTTCAACGCGCGGATGCGTAAAGCATACCTTACGCATAGCCGAAATTAGAAAATTGCAACCAGAAAACTATTTGATTTGTATTCGTGGTATTTATAATGACGAGGAATTTGATTTAAATCATATCAAAGACGGAGTACATCGAAATTAAATACTACATTTAGTAAGGAATTATAAGCCGAATAAAATAAAAACATCTGCTCTGAAGATAACGATAGTGTTGACAAATCAACTTCCAGTTCATTGTGCGCCGGGACGTCTTCCTCCCCCCCCCCCGCGCAGAGCAGCGTGAAATTGATAAACAGATTTCGGAACGGTTAGATAAAACAAGAAGAATATGCCTTTATCCATTTTTTGTAGCAATTCTTTTTTGTTTGATGGACATCGAAACATACTTTCGTTTTCTAGATCCTTTGGGAGCTCCAGCATCGGAAATTCTATTTGACATAATCGAAAGTTCAAGCTTACTTTTATAAAATTGCTCTTACAGTCTGCAAAAAATAATAAGCCGGATCCAATTCAAAGATTAAGGAACAACGCAATCATCAACATTAACTGAAATAGATAATTAGTAATTTTAGCTTATACCGTCCGTTATACATTAAACGCGCACGCGAAAACGTATTCTGCACTTGCGCAGACGCATATGCGCAGTCGTAAATATCTTGGGCGCACGAGTAAAACGCCTATGCGCATGCGTCAATGCGGCGCATGCGCAGAAATATTTTAGCTTTGAGGTCCGGATTATAGATCATTCCGGATTATGGGTGTCCGAATTAACGACTTTTGACTGTATTATTTTTAAGACGAAAAGGGGAAACGTCCAAATTAAAATGAAGGATAAAAGGATCTGTTGCCAATTTAAACTTGAAGTTTGCTGTCATATTCTTATCTTACACACACACACACACATGCTCGTAGAGTTTTGTAGAAGCACCGTGTATATTTAAAGGATTAGTATATAATATAAAATTTTGTATGGAAGTGAGGCAGAAAGGTTAATGGAAGTCTTTCATAGATCAAATATAAAAAACACTAACCTCACAGCGATGACCTGTCCCGCAGACAAAGTGATACCGTTCATTTGGGCGATGAACAAGGCGGCGACAGCTTCGTACAGAGCAGTGCCATCCATGTTAACAGTTGCTCCGACGGGTAGAACAAACCTCGTAACCCGACAATCGATATTGTTGTTTTCTTCCAGACACTTGAAGGTGACAGGGAGCGTAGCAGCACTTTAAAAACACAAGAAAATTAATTACATAATTGTGAATGCTGTAGGAATTTTTTATACATATATTCGACAAAATCGTCCATTTCCCTCTTAATTATATCGCAAAAATATGGATAATCGAAACAAAGGTGAAAAGTAATATGGAATCTGTGAACCCATAAACCAATCACTCAGTTTTTTTAAATCAGATTTCCTTCATTGCTTCATTCTTTATAAGCAAATGCATAATTTCCCAGCAAATTAAGTGGCTGCAATAATTGTATACTAAATTGTGGACTGAGAAATCTCTTTGCAAGAGATAACTTTTAAATATTGAATTTTACTGATATACTATTTATGAGAGTTAAAAGTGCATTGTATTTAGCGTTTAACTTAAAAACGTTTAAACAAATCCTCTGCCAAAAAGAGTAAATGACAAATATTCCAATAAAGTATATAAATGTTCTCAATTTATTTTATTTATTATTCAGTGTTGCTGTTCTGTGGCCTGCCATTTAACTACTGTTATCATTAAAAAAAGGGTTTATAAAATTTGGAAACTAGCAGGTGTTTATAGTTTATCATGAGATTTTTTTATTCATACTGTATGTGACATGTCCATTTTTGTAAATATTCATACAAACATTTCATTTATCAAATGTGTTTTTAAAATAATAATAACTTCAAAAAAGGTGTTCCCAAGGGTGACATTTCTAGTTTTTATGAGAACAAATCTGCCTATATATACGTATTATTTAAGAGACATAAAGTAAACGAAAAATGCGAAATACTAAAAGAAAAATTTAAATACATACAACTACAACGAAATATAATTCACGTATAATTTTAAAATCAATAATTAATTACGAATTCCATTTCGATTCACAAAACAAAAATACAGTTAATTCTATAATACCAGCGTTTGATTTCGTAGACAGTTACATATTTTTTGTTAATTTTTAAAAACAAATAAAACAAATAAATGTAAGGTTGCATCTACTTTTGCGTCGTCCGTTTACGCTGCAACTTGCACTGAAATGCTAACTCTACTTTGATACTTCTCTTATATGCCATTTCTAGCAAGAATTTTATCTTGCTCTTTCTGGCATCTCAAATATCCAAATTAGGGTCTGCCACATATTCCTCATAGATGACTCCACTCCAATTCTGGTCAATTGCAGGGACTGAAGAAAGAAATTAGGCCCTAGGCTGTGAAAGTTTCATGTGCAGTCTGGCTGTATATGATGGGAAAATTTGAATGTTAGTGTTGAATAGATGGGAAATACATGCAACTCCGTACACATTGAAACACTTCGAATTTGTAGATGGGAATAAAATCATTTTTATGCAAAAGAAAATGACTTTATGCTACGCTAGTGTAAATGTGCTGTTGAATGCAGGTCAGACTGGGTGATTACGAGCTGACAGCGAAGGCCACTAAAATAAACTTTATTTCTCTGAATACAAAAAAGAAATTATAACTTTACAACTTGTCACAACACACAACAGACAGTCAGTATTGTAGAATATATTAAATTTAAAATGTACATTTTATTTCAGTAAATGCGTTTCAGCATATCTTTTCTTTTTATATATATAAGCGGCTAAAGTGTGTGTCGCTGATAGTTCATTGTTGCCACTCGGAAAAATGAGCGTGGAAATTAACGTTTCCGCAGTTTTTAATTAATTAAGTTTCGCAGGCCGATTAAAGTTGTACGAAGATGAGAACGGTATCGATGGATTCGGAGAATTTTTTAAAATCCGAGGATACGCGTTTCGAATTTCAAATCGGTGCCGTTCCGTTAGATATTCGAGAAAAAAGAATTTGGCACAGTAGCCAAATACCTCTAATAGGAAAAAAACCCAAGAAAGAAAGCGGAAAATGTAGAGGGAAAACGTAGGAGGAAAATTAGTTTTTAATTAATATTCTCGGCTAATTAAAGTCCCACGAAGACGCGAATGGTCAAAATGGCGTTGCCATAGGACCTCCAGGAATTCCAAACGGTGTGCTTCGCTAAGCCCGGGAGCCAGCCGTTTCGGAGGAGAGATGTTACGTTACTTACTTCCATACCCCCCATATATATATGCGGCTTAAGTGTCTGTTTGTCGCCAATAGTTTATTGGTTGCTTGCGTAACTGTACTAGCCAAAGGGGTGAAGTTGCCACTGCACAGGAATGCCGTTTCAATTGAGTCGTAGACAATATCCTGTAAAACTTGCCTTTGATATGACCATCAATAAGTCTCAGGGCCAAACGCTTAAGCACTTAAGCAGTCTCAGGGCACTGCATCTTAAGCATGTTGGGATTTTTTTTTTACCTGTGCCTGCATTTGGACACAGTCAGCTTTATGTTGCCGGTTCAAGAGTCCGTGAAAGAACGGATGTAAAATAAAAAATAAGTGATTGTCCTCTGCAAGGCGAGCTTAAAAATGATGGAAAGATCTACACAAGAAATGTTGTGTACAAAGAGTAAGTGCACCGCTATGATAGCTTCCGACCACGGACATGAACCAAACGGAATTATATACCATCACGGCGGGGAAGACTCCAGAGTAACAAGGTTGAATATTATATACTAATAACAGTTTTTTACATATTGATAACTGCAAGGCACTAAGCGTTATTTCTGGTTATCTGCTTTAAGTTTCTGAACATTTGAAACATTATAATATTATCCATCCACGGTTGTTTCTGCTTAGGCAGTGTCTTGAGATTTTCTCTATTTTATCAAGGGCTATTCTGTTTTTGAGTGTGTTAGACGTCCCACATTGCCCAGGCACAGTCCGCTGGTTTCTTCCAAGTGCCAGGTTCTTGTATGTACACAATGGAAGTAATAATGGTCCGTGGTCGCCTTCCTCTCCGCATTCGCAGAAAGGAGTATCCCTAAGTCTGAATCTGTTCAGGTATACAGGGAATGGTCCATGACCTGTCAAGAACTGTGTTAGGCTAGCACAGTGGGTCTTTATTTACATGTTTACTTTTGGCAGTAAGAGCGAAATGTCCTTCGTCCGTCCTACCTCTGCCTCTGTTGTCCATCTACGTTGCCAATTTTGTAGCAGACTTGACAAAGTTGTTTCGCTTAATATGAGACCAAGGAAGTTTAGTTGGTCTTTCTAATATATCCATTCAGTTGGCTGCCTGCTTGGCCAGTAGGTCAGCGGCTTCATTGCTTTGAATCCCTGTGTGAGCGGGAACTCATTTTAAAGTGGGTCTTTGCGAAATAGGCATTGTGTACAAAGAGATCTGTAACATGTGAATTAACATTTCATTATTTAAATCACCTTTACTGATTGAGCTAGCGGTGGCTCTTCGCCAGTGGTTTCCTTTATTGCACTCTACTTTAAGCAATTAAGTACCCCGTGGGGCAGTAAGCAAAGAGGCCACCTCGCCGCCTGCTCTGGGTAATTCAGTTTAAATTAGCAGACACCTTTGCACAAATCATTTTAATTACAATTTATAATATCTAGAACAGCAGTCATTTCGTATGATCGCCGGGCTTTCTAGTATTTAAATAAACAATTAGGATATTTTACAAGTACAGTCATTTTTATCTCGTAATATTTTAAATAAAAGTAAATAATGACGAAATAACAATAAAAATGTAATTATCTGATTGTTCACACATAGAATGAATGAAAATTTATTTGAAATTAAAAATGAGGACTCAACTAGAGGAAAATAAATAAATAAAACAAAAAACTGACAAGTCAGGTTTATTAACAACTCATCAGTGAGGGTTTCTAGAGAAAAGAAGACAAGGCAAACTCACCTAGATGCCGTACCAAGCGCTGTCACCCAAGCTTGAAGCATACCTTGAAAGAATGGCCATGGGTTTTTTCGCGTGATAAGAAAATATATTCCTGGCAATGTTATAATACCATGCATAAGGAGACCAACGATGACAGTTAACATATATAAGCCTAGCTGCTGGGCAGTAACAGCCAAGTCTTCAATAGACATGATCTTCCCTACGATTAAAGACATGATTCCGAAGGGGGAATACCTGGCAAGGGAAAAAGTATCTAAATTAGATTAATAATAAAAACGAATGGCAAAATGTTATTTTTAGCAAGATTTCTGTAGCTTTTGTAATCCTTTGTTTAGCTCACTCATGGTGTTTGCCATCGATTTAAAAACTATTTCCCGACAAGCCACCTTGAATTTTGCATCGACTTCGAATTTAAAGTTGAAACGATTTTTTGTACACATCTTCGTTTAACGAAAAAATTAAAAATCTCAAAATTTTACTCTTTGCACCATCAAACAAAGCGAAAACAAATATTCAAACACAAACAAAGCAGGCACATCAGCATCAGAGAAATAATCGTCTTAAACGTGTTTCAATCAAAATTTAAAAAATAAATCAGAATTGATCACTAAAGTTTTTCTTTCTAACGCCAGTATTTATCATAAGTTATTCTACACGTTTCTACACCTTTATTGAACCTCCTGGTATTTCATAATTTAGTAATTCAAATTAATGTTTTTAAATATTCACCAAAACATATTATAGATGTAATCAATTTAAATTTAAACCCATCATTAAAACATTAAGTCTACATATTTTTGAGACTTTTCTTGCTTACGGCATATGCTGGAAATGACTTCTCAATATATTCGTTAGCACACTTCTTCATGTTTTTAGCAAACTTACATAGATTTTCCATATCTATATTCCAGTCAGTGTTTCTCAAACTTTTTGAGATTATCGCCCACTTTACACATGACAGAATATTCAATGCCTCGTGGGAACATACACCTACTTGTATTTAAAAAAAAAACGTGCATGGAATATGGTAATGATAAGGTTTCACTATTTGAAAATTAATGAAATTAAGAGTGAAAAGCAGTAATGCAAGTATTTAACTAAATTATATAAAGTCCAGGAATACGAACTAAAAAATAACAAAATGATTTTAATGAAAATAATGAGCTTAATGAGCTTTCAACAGTTAGTACAGTAGACACCGTTTTTAAAATCACTTCCGTTACAAATATACTTGAGCTAATTGAGCGGTTGAATTTAATGCATGGCGATTTGCATATTGAAATCTTGATATCAGTTTTAAACTTTTTAAGTAAAATAATATATAACAATTAATTCAATAATTATTCCTGAAATAATAATTATAAATTAATGCTAAATTTAAACTAGGTACACATTCTTTTAAAATTTTTTTATAAAATATTTTTACATTTATGTTGTAAGGCAATTCTCCCCGCCTTCTTAGCATGCCTTCGTGGTGTAGTGGTCAGCACGCTCGACGCGTATTCGAGAGGTCGGTGGTTCGAGTACCGGTGAGGGCATTGCTCATTTTTCACATCTTCAGCACAAAAAAAGAAAAAAAATCATAATGTCTCTACAAGTAGCACCCGAACTAGAAAAAAAAAAAAAAAAAAAAAAAAGGGTGGATGATGATTCTCCACCACCAGGACTTGGCGATTGGGTCCCCTAATCCTCAGTCGCCGGTTAAAAGGAGAAGTATATAAGGTATTTCTCCCGCCTTCTCAGCATGCGTTCGTGGTGTAGTAGTCAGCACGCTAGACGTTTCGAGCCTACATTTTCGAAAACAGTTTAAATTAATTTTAAGATATTAACCATCTGCAATGACTATAGTATGCATGGCTTCTAGCAGAGATATTGACTATCTCGTTCGAAGTTTTTGCATATTAATAAAATTCAGTTCTCTTAACCATTTTTTAAATATATTTCTTGTATTGAGTTTTGAAAGGTTTTATATTACCCTGGTCAGAAGTTTTATTTGAAGGAGGAGACACTCACGTTGGAGGGACTACGAAAATGGACTCTGTGGATGAACTACGAAAGCTTTGGTAGGGATAAATAAAATATTCTGCACTAAACATTCAGCTTTTTGTCAACCTGAGTTTCATAAACGGCGAAAATGAGTTTAATAAACGGTTGTTTTTCTTTTGATTAGTATACCTTTTTTCGTTTTGATTCCAGGAAAGTTGAACGCGGCTGAGTTTATTAACCTGGGAGTTCAATAAATTGCGATTACTGTATTCGGCTTCCTTTTCACTAAAAAAATTCTTGTCTCCGCAATCACTTCTGCGGCAGATTTCTTCTTTTAGTTAGTGGGGTTGTTACTGCACTGAACAAGAACAGGACTAAATAAGAAAAAGAGAAAGCTATGAGAAATTTCTGTTCTAGATTCCATAAAATTTCAGGTATCTAGTTCTGAAGTCCAAACTGTTGGTATCTCCAGTTATAAATTTAAATTTCATCTTCTCAGTAAATTCTCAGTAAGTGTTGACTTAGTAAATTCTTCTAAGTATCGATGTACTTCTGAAATTGCACAGGAAAGTTGGTCCCAAAGCCAGTCAGTCGGGTGCATCGACATACTAGAGGTCCAATTCCAGAGGTTTGAAATGCTGGTAACATTTTTTGTTAGATATCGTACCCCGCCCTCAGGATAACTTGCAGCTGCTGTTGCTTCTTTAGGCCACTATATAAGTGCCCAACGGGGTACGGTATCTCCCACTCTGAGAATCGTTTAGATGTTCATTTTCAAACTTCCAGAGGTTTCTTTCCAAATGGAAAATAGTGCACGACACTGAACACACGAATTTGTTTTGAAATAATATTATGTTATAAAAATCATCTCTTTAATGGTATTTCGAGCGGTTAGTTTAACCTATCAAAACAACCTCAAAGACATCATACAAAATGCGAACAATCTTCTATATGCTCCCGCATTCAGAGAACTATGGCACAGTTGAGTGACACACGTGTTTTTAAATAATGCAGGAAAAAAAATTCCAAGCAAGCAAAATAAAGTGTAGTATATCTCATAAAATATAAAAAATATGAAAGGACATTTCTTACCACATGATGAGGTAGACAATTCGCATAACAATTTCATTGAGAACGACGAAGAAATGAACCATAATGCGACCGTCTGGTCCCATGTTGCCGGCAAAGATACCAAAAGCAATGCAGAATACAATTAATCCTGCGTAATAAAAAATACATGACCGTATTTTTACACAATAATTTTTAAGCAGTTTTATTAATACCATGTCTCAGTACAGATATGTAAAGAAATGGGAAAACGTTTTAAATACAGGTTAAATATTCAAAATAAAAATAAATACAGTTTTATCATAATTTATTATATTACATTTTTGGTGCATAAGAAACACATCCATCTCATTCTGAAAGAAACAGTAATTAATCGTCCAAACGGGCTAACCCCGTTTGGGTTGAAGTCTTGGAACAGGATTTTGCGTCACCCGCTATATACGGCTAGCACTTTTCAAATTGTTTTCACAAATTATTATAGCCCTATATTATTTTTAAAGAAATTAAATAATGAAGAATCTGTATGTATGTTCCATTCCTCGCACTATAAAAAAAGACGGTACCTAGAACCGCCAAAATTTTGAATAAAGTAGTCCCCCACACGAATATGTGCACCTGGAAAACTGACTTTTGAATTTCGAATTTTGTATTTCAGTTTTTTTAAATATTTAATGAATTTTTGATTAACAAACTCGACAATTTGAAAGCGAGAAGTGCAACATTGTATGGAATAATGATTTTTTTATCTCCAACGTACGAGATTGTGCATTGGCTGCTTTAAAGTTAAGCTGTTTTTAAATATTTTGTGATTTTGCTGTTGAATTGAATTTTATACGTCTTAAGTACGAAGAACGTGCTATTTAATAAAATAGTTACACACAAATTTAATAACAAAAAGAGACACACACTAAAATAAAATTTAAAAAAAAAAAAAAAAACATTGCCAGCTATTTTACTAAGAAAACTCAGTATTTATAACGTACGATGAACTGAGATAAGACTGAAAAATAGAAAAATGTATGCCAACAATTAACACTGCATCTGAAATTCTAAATATAAGCTGCTATGTTGCTTTTAAACTTTTTGTAATTTTGCTGCTGAATTGTATATGGCGTAAGTGCGAAGTAAATGAAGCTTAATAGTAAAGGTAAAAAGACAAAAGAAAAAATGTTAGCAGGAGTGAATGTAACAGCAGACTGGTAGACTACGAGCTCAGCGAGAGCGTAAACACCATAGCAAACTCTTTTGGGTGACCATTAAAATCTGAAAACTTTCAATTTGTTTTCTTTCGTATTAATCAGCTATTTATAATTTCAGCTTTTACTATCACTTCTCCGTTTCTGTTTCCTCATCAGAAATGTAGATGAATTTATTCGAGGGTTTTGGATTGTGTGACAGAGCGTATTAATGCCTATCAAGGCCACTTTACCAGGTTTCGCCAAAACTCTGATAAGTTTGATATTATGCGGCTTTGCGTAATGGCAACTGTCGTTTAAATTGTTTCGTCAGTGAGCAGTTCTGAACCAATTTAGTTTTAAATTCACTTGAGCAATGTTTGACTACTAGGTTAGTTCTGATTTGAATTACTGTTACTTTAGGTTATGTCGCCACAAGTGTGGTTGATCTTGTCAAGCATGTGAAGTGCGTTTTGTATTCAAGTTCTGATTTAATGAAAAGGTTATTTTAACCTTCTTAGATCTCTATTTAGTTTTAGACCGAGCGATAATCCGGAGTTTGGAACTATTTTATGCTACCAAAGAAAGTCAGACTCTAGAAAAGACCAAAATTCCACAAAATATTAGTTTCATTTAAAAAAGAAAATTTTAAGAGACGAAGTTTGAATGCATTACGACAAGCTAACTTCATGAAGATCTGGCCAGTGTAAACTAATAATAATTGTGTTAATTTAAAGTCTTAAACTGAATAGAATATGATTTTTGTGAAATTTTTGTTTACTATTAATATTATAGTTAGCAGAAAAGCTCGTCATATATCCAACGAGCTTGCAAAATGAAAGTAGGATAATTGATCTGTAGTAATAACTGTCTTGTTTTCGATATATCATACAAGCTTATACATACACATTGTTTCATCCAAAATTAGTCGATTAGTCAAATTATCAAAGAAAACTTACAAAGCTTAATCATTGAATTTACCAAGTACATTACGTGCTCGAATTCACATTCGTTTCCATTTACACACTCTTTATTTTGATTTGCAAGTAAATTAGTTTGAAGGAATGGGAATGTACCAATTAAACGATCGCCGATTTCTTAATAAATAACCCTTTTCTTTTTACTTCCCTTGAGAACATCTTATGTTTATTTTTAATAACTATTAATCAATAGTTTATATTAACTGATTAATAACAATGCAGCAATTAAAGGCTACACAACAGCAGAATTTAAAACCATTGTAGGAGTAAGTATCTCAATAATAATAGGCGAAATTTTATTCGAGCTTGAAGACATTTAGAAGAAAAGTATTTTTTAAATATGTATTGGAAGTTAAATTATAAATAAATAATAGTAAATGAACATTTTTCTCATTCGAAAGAGACCTTTGGGACACTTTGTCTCTACTGATTTAATCGTATCTACAAGTATAAATGATATCATGTATAAATAACTTGCAGGAATTCATTGAAGAAATCGTTACTTTCGCTTTCCTTTCCTCTGAGAGAGAGTAAAAGTAACACAGGCCAAAAAGGTACAATGTACCTTTTGCGTCATCTAGTAGATATAGCTAAATAACATAGCTGTAATAAACATGACAATCATGAAGATTAAATTAGCTTTTTCTAAGCCAAATAACTCGGAATGTTGATGCTCAGGATTTTCTTTAGTTTTTGGTACAGTGGTAGAGATTATCCAAGAAAACAAATTAAATCTGAGTCTTTTGTTGCCCCCTTCTCTTCTGTTCCTCCGTTGTCCCTATTAGGAGCTGCGGTTAAGAGTCATTAGTGTGAGGTTCCCGTTTGGTATTTTATAATGTAATTGATTTAGGGTGACGTGTCCGTCAGACATCAGCTTAATATACGTTACACATTGTAATCTTAATATTACTATGTATTCTTATTGGAATATAGGCTTCATTTAGAAAAATAATATTGTGATAATTACCAATAGTTTATCCAAGAGTACCTTTCTTTTGTTACGTTCTGATTGCACAAGACGAATTATTAATAAAACTTCCAATCGACATACTCGTCTAGTAACCGTTTGCTTTTTTTCTATCGAAATTATCAACAAATCGTTTTACTTTGTAAATTAGATAACACCTTAAAGTATACCGCATTTACGAGGCCGTCAATTTTAATGAATAGTTTCAATTTCTAGAGCATATATATGCGATAAGACTGTTTCTTTCCTCAGGTTCCACTTGAAAGATGGTATTACAGCTACTTATATCTGTTTGTTTTTATTCTATTCCCCTGTATGAATTTGACAAAACAGCACAGATAATGTTTTGCTCTTCGAAGAACCAAGACGTAAAAGTCATATAAAGATTTTGAATATCGAGAAGTAAATTTATTGCTTTTGAATATCAAGAAGAAAATTTATTGCTCTTTAATTGCTAAATTTGTTAAATAATATAGATACAATTTGTGAAGTTTATTAAGGTTCTTACGTTACATCTAATGGCAAAACACTCGAGACTAGCTTTTATTTAAGTCACACGGAAAATAATTAAAAATCTTACTCTCGTGTAATAGAAAAGCTCAGGAGATTGTGTAAACAGCATAGCAACGAAACTTAATTAACATGGCTTAAAAAACCTGGACAGATTCCACTAAAGACGTTTCTATCGTATTTTAGCAACTATGTTCGTTTTCCAAGCTCACACAACTGTTGAAAACTGTTAAAAATGAATGAAACTCAGTCATTTTTATTTATTCCTGCTGCAGATATGAATATGATACAGATTCCGAAATACTGTCGCTTCAATTTAAATGTCAAGCAAGGATATACGCAAAAATTAATTTGAGCGAATTCAACCTTTAGTGTTGCCATGTCGCAGTCTATGTGACACAATTTAACTAGTGTATGATAGCAATATACAGGGTACCCACTAAAGTCAGGTACCTACGTTTAATTGCTGAAAAGCTTCAAATATAGTTATAAAAGTGGTGTCTACATATAGTAAAGCGGCTACGCGCTACTAGATGAGACCGCTTACTGCGCCGTCTAATGGAAAACGTTCGAGTTTGTGTCTCGAAAACGGTACGAGATAGAAGCAAAAAATTGAATTACAAAGTTGTAGAGCATCATTAATGAGATGAATTTTTAAAAGCAGAATACCGGAAACCTGTATTTGTTTTTTAGAGATTTCCAAAAATTTGTGGCGTAAAGAAACTTGATTGAAAGTAAGAAAGTTTATCTCCTGCGGACGAAAAATGAGCCCTCATCGCCTCATAGTAATTCACTTGTAATTCACAATCGAGAGGACTGTGGTTAAAGGCCCGTGGGGTACATCCTTGTACTGATTGTATATACAGAGTAGGCAAAAAGCAAATAGTGCCGATTCTTGCCGCAAAAAGCATCACCTCAACGCAGCTTGAGCATGGAGTGCGAAATTTGTACATAATGCAAACAGTATATAAAAGGTCACACCTGTTCACCTCCGACAGCTATAAAAGAGATACAAACTCGGGATTTACTCATAGTCATGTAGCAATTTCCAAAAAATGATTCTTGTGAGATGGTTCTAAATTTAGGTGAATGTGAGCGCAAGACACGATCGGCAGCGCGGCTTTATCGGCAATTTTTTCCAGGAAACCCGCATGCTTCACACAAAACCATCCTACATAGTGTGAAACGTTTAAGAGAGATAGGCTGTATAACTAGTCGACTTCGATCCAGCAGATCACCTAAGGTAACGTGGAACCTACAACCAGAAGATGCATTATCATATGCCTTTTCATAAATGAACAACTGCACAAGAGAAAGAGAGATAAGGGATGACTATGGCCTCTCAAAAAGCCACTTTTGGAAAATCCTAAACGAATTAGATACTCATCCAAACCAGCCAACACCTCATGAAGCATTACTGCACGGGGATGCCGAGAGACGTTTCGCCTGTTGCAACTTCATCATGAAACAGATAGAGGTCCAGGCAACATTCTTGGTAGATATAGTATGGACGGATGATGATTCTTTTTCGCGGAAAGAAATGTACAACAGACAGAACGTCCGTGACTGGACGCTGGAAAATGGAATCATGCTCTGCCAACGTTCGACATGTGATACATTTCTAGATTAATGGCTGGTGTGGAACTGACAATAACAGACTAACATGTAACAGGCTCAATGTTTTACTTAGGTACATTAACGACAGCACAATATTTAAAAATTGTGCAAGATGTAATACCCGATTTTGTTGAAAACCTTCCGTTGCTTTAACTCTGGTGATTTTACAATCACGTAGATAATTAATTTTCACTTTATTAAAATGCATATGGAATCCATAACGAAATATAAAAGGGAAATAAATTCTTCAAATAGTTACCTAAAACATTTGTTCCGTCTTTATATGTGAGCGTCCTTTTGGTGATGTATTGAGTTTCATTGAGAATTTCTCCAATACCCACAGAATCGTTTAGACCCGTCACTTTCAGTATTTTAGGCTTCTCTTTAGAATAACTCGTCTCAACTTGCTGGAAACAGGCTTGCAATAAGTTCTCGGGGAACATATTCCTGAAGAGGAAAATATTTCTGTATTAAATACTACTTTACAACTTATTACAAGGTAAATAAATTGCATTTAGTAACTTTAAAATTCAGTGTCATAAAAGACATTTCAAATTTCAGAACAAGTGAACAATTAAATATTTCTTGGAATAACTACTGCTAGACTCACAGTTCCAGATTAATAAACAGACTTTCACATAAAAAAAATTTCTTATCATGTGTAACCATTTTACTAAAAATATAGACTATTTAAATTTTTATGTGGGCTTTTTAGAAAAGAAGTTCCAATTTGTAAGTTGTTCTTTATCTCAACGAAGGTTTTTTTACTTGGTGAAAGATGGTTTGCAAATAAAAATAAGTTTTTAATGAATACAAAGTTCCAAGTTTTAGCATTTCTGGAAAAAGCATATTGATGTCAATGTTTATTCTGCAATTTTTCTTCTGACTTTAAAGGTATGCTTTAAAATTTCGTTGGGAAACTTAATATGGCTCGCTACATCAATATTGGTATTATTTTAACAAATCGTATCACGAATAACTTTAATCGTATAAGGATTCTTTTATCCCTTCCTCTTTTTTAACTAAATTATTAATGAAAAATATTTTCTCATCGATACTTTATAAGATATGAATAAAAATTTATAGTTCACTTTTTTAAATATATCATGTGACCCAAATTACCCATTCAAAATTATTCTTATTTGATTCATTCTGAATTTAGAACTCTGGGTAAAGAATGATCAATAACACTAGGGAACAGTGGTTTTATTGTCTTAGATCTGTCACCTGTTTTTGACTAACTTTTGGCCTTTAAATCCGAAAATAACCTCAGTTTTTGTCTATCACGTCAACGTTTTAAATATACCTATAGAATACCTTCTTTTTGTTTCAAAAGTCATACAAAATATGCATTAAATGATAGTAAAGGAAAAAAAGTAACAAATCTGTTGTTCATAAAGAATAGTTTTATTCATACAAGGTATGCAAGCAAGCCTCCACATTATTCAGCGTCAGGTGTGCTATCCGCAACCGCTCAAGGACAACAACGATAAAGATTGCAACAAACCGGTTTCTCGCTCTTCTGCTGCTGACGTTAGGGTAGGCTTCGGTCTGTCCTCTCCCTGGCCGATGCGATGTGCCATTTTCCTGCTTCTATTTGCTTCCTTCGATGCTGTTTGCTATACATGATAATTTTTTTGGTGAGATTTTTACATGAAGATTCAAGAAAATAATTACTCCTATTTCCTGTACATTGTTGCAGAAAATAATTTTTGTTCAGCTTCTTCCTTATTTTGAGAACTCTTCGCGCGCACGTGTTTATGAAATCTAAAACTTCCTGAATTAAAGAAGAAAAAGCAGAAATACCATTATTAATCGAATACGCTTAATGACTGCCATCAAAATTCGATTGTTCCTTTTACACCAAGACTTTGTTACGAGCTGATGGAGAAAGATTGACTTTATTCTCTGTGCTACGTTAATTCTGGCGATGCGCATCACTCGTGCTTGATGTTCAAATTTATTCGTCTGTCTGGTCGATAAAAATATTTATATTAATGCTTATTTCAATATCAAAGATGAAGAATAAAATATAATTGATTTGGTAACATACAGTTATCACACTTTGGGGTAAGTACTGTGATTTCATATTTCCTTCTAGATGACACAGTTTGATTTGCACGTTAGTAAGTATTTGTGGGTTATTGCTACACAACGCGATTTACTAAGTAAGCAATTCATTTGATTTACATTTGCTAATCCTTTAATTCAAAAAACGCCAAGTGACTATTTTTGGTGCTCGAGTAATTCTAATTCACCTCACTTAATTCTATTTCATTTTTACATTTAGCACCGCAACACATCATATATTATAACACAAGAGCTATCTATAGCTACTGTAAGTTAAATATTGTTCATACAAATACTACATTTTTTTTTACCAAACGGTAAAACACATATTAAGGTAAAAATTTCGCTTATGGCTTTTTCTGGAGTATGTAATCTGTGGAGATTTTCTCTTGATGCTTCAACAATAATCAGCCATCATACGTACATACCATCTACCTTAGCACAGTGCTTCCATGACTTTTAAATCTTGGTGGAATCACTCACTTTACTCATCACTGACTACAACATGATTTTTCGGGAAGTTATCAAGACGGCTATGTAAAAAATGCTTTTTAATGCTCATGTAGCACCCAAACATTCTGAAACTCTCCAAAAGTTGCTGAAGAATTTCACTGAATTCTGTGCTTCTTTATTTCCAAGAAAATCTCTGAAAATGTTTTTAGATCCCAACTAAGCATTCTTTTGAATTTCTGTATTTGTTCCAATGAAATCTTCATATTTAAGGAACTGCCGAATCCGCAGACCATCAAACACACCGGCCTTTATCTTTCCAAATGACAGGTTAGGGTTTGCAAAATGAGATACTTTGAAACAGTCTCCTTTAATTGGCAAAACTTTAAAAATTGCTCTATGAGATCCAGTTTTATATGGTGAGGTTGAAACATAATGTTCTTTTCTGTCGACAAGTGGCTGATGTAGATGTTTGCATCACCAGTTCTCAGGACATATCGCTAATTCGACAGCACGCAATGCTTCTCACGAGCTTTGTTGTCCCACATCACAAAAAACAAAGATACTTGGTATATCATCGTTGCTGGCCAAGTGATATTGCGACACATCAATGACACTCTTTATTTCTTTATATCCTTCACACAAACAAATGGAATGGCCTATTGGGACTTCACCAAATATATTTTCATTGTGGAGGAGAATACACTTCAAACTTCACTTTGAGTTATCGATGAACAATCGTCTTTGAGTTGCTTTATAAGCTGAAATTCCCAACACCTCTATTAAAACATTATGGCAATACACAAATCCATCATCACTTTGAAAGTACTTCAGAAACACACTTTCTCTTAATCGAAAGTAGAAAAATTAGCTCCTATTTTTAAGCAAGATTTTTCTCGTCTAGCCTTCATGCTAACAGCTCTGAAGCCTTTTTGGATAGTCCCAAATGTTCCAAATCATTTAACTCGTGCTGGTCAGATTCCTTACCAATCATCTTCAGATTCAAAATCTTCGTCATTGGGGTCAATTCTATATTCACCAATAATGATCATATTCCTGTATTTCCAAAATGAGGGTAATTCGTTCAAAACAGACACTGGGATTTTAGTTGAGTGAGACACTGGGCGTATAGCTGATGGTAAATAAGAATACTCTATTTTACATTTGTTTTTCTTCTTATATCCTGACGTTCACTATACAAAAGTAACAATCACTTGAAAGATCTTTTGGTTTTCACCAAATCATAAGTATTTCAAATGGAAATCTAGAACGTGTTCCCTTCATACACATCCGTAAACTCTCGACACACTGCTTGTCCACTTTATGAGGGGCCCATGATTTATCTTGATCACCAATTTTGACTTTAAAATAGGCAAAATAGGCTTGCCTTACAAATGTACTAGTGTTTGTCCTTAGATTGGGAATCGTAAATTTACCGCTTATACACTCATGTCCATAAATTAAGGATAATGCAAAATCAGGCAAAGGAAGAGTTAGAAGCAAAACAAATTTATTTGTAAAGCTTATTTATTAAACAAAATGTAAAGAGGAAAAAAAGATGCTATATGTTTGATATTATTAAAAAAATTAGCGATTTTTTCTCCCTGGAGAAAATTACAAAAAAAACCTATTTACAAAAAAACAATGATTGTTAATACATTGTATGTCTCCCAGACGATGTAATACAGTCCGCACAACGCCTAGGCATGCTGAGTATCAAATTATCGATCTGATCTTGGGGGATATTACACCAATCAAAACGCAATGCTCTCCGAAGTTCCGGTAGACATGTAGGAGGAGGTTGACGTGCTGCAACTCGTCGGCCAAGCATGTTCCACACGTGCTCTACTGGATTCAAGTCCGATGAGAATGCTGGCCAGTCCATACGGGTGATATCCTCCGAATGAAGGCATTCGCTTACGATGTTTGCACGGTGAGGACGGGCGTTGTCATCCATAAACACAAATTGTGCGCCCATGGCGCCCCGAAACAAACGTACATGTTGTTCTAGAATGACGTACCGATAGATTTGGCTTGTCATGGTTCCAATTTGAACATACAGGTCAGTTCTGGAACCCAGAATAATTCCATCCCAAACAAGACTCCACCGTAACGGTGTCGTTCACTGATGTTTTCTTGGTGGTAACGGGTACCTGGAGCTCTCCATATGAAAGTCCGGCGAGAAACAGACTGCAAGCTAAACCTGGACTCGTCGAAAAACATCACACAAGCCCACTGTTGCGGTATCCACAATGCATGCTCTCTACTCCAGGCTAACCGCAGGCGACAATTAGTTGCAGTAATTGGAACGCATCTGACAGGTCTACGAGCATATAGACCAATGTTCCCTAAGCGTCTGTACACGGTCTGCCTTGAAATTGTCGTACCAGTGGCTGAAGAGAGCTGACGAGACAGGTCTGAGGCTATGCTCCGCTTGTTTCTTTCGGTAGTAACTGCCAAATACCGGTCCTCATTCGGCGTTGTAACGGGCGATCTGTGCTGTAACGTCTACTCACATTACCATCATCTCGGAATCGTTGCCAAAGCCTGGTGATGACACTCTTGGCAATTCCAAGTTCGTCTGATACTTCCAATTGGGTACGTCCACATTCCAGACGGCCGATAATTCTACCAAGTAAAAAATCATTCAAATGCGTCCTTTGTGTCATAACTATTCGGCTATTGCACTGAAATGCTTATAAAGCGCCTGCGAACAATTTTACTTCTTTGCCTGTACTCCTTATATATCACTCTCTTACACTCTCGTCATTGTGACGTACCATCGGTGTCATCTGGTTACTTCCTGAAATTCGCATATGATTCTTGAAGATGTGTGTAGTGATTTTACAGAGGATATATTTATTTTAGAGTTCGATTTCTGCGTGACTCCGAATTATCCTTAATTTATGGACATGAGTGTATAACAAAACGAAATGGGGCTATTTAAACACTTACGATGCGAACTAACATAAGCAAACATAAGGAAAAATTTCAGTTCAGATAAAAGTAAAAACTACAAACTGCTAACCTTGTATACAAACAAGTCTTCATACTTCAAGTCGGAATGCGCTTCATTTTATCAGAGCGACACGCAACATCTCCCTACAATATCTCAGGCGTAACTGAGCTAGTGTAGACAAATATGAACCTGTCGCTGGTCTTCTATTGCGTAATCCAACAGGCGCTAATAGGAGGGTTTATGGCAGCCAACAGGAGAAAAATTTTACTTCCTATGATCTACGTTCGATGCATCGGAGAGTGGTAACATTCACATAAGGTGTAGAGAAAAAACTTAATGTGGTAGAAGACAACTAACTACAGTTCTGAAATCATCAAGCTTATTTAACTTTTATTAAAACAGCTCAAAAATCGAACTCAACATTAATGTTGTTACAAATTGTCCCCAGAGTAATTTAAGAGTTGTTTAGTTGAAATTTCTGAAATTCTCTGAGTATAGTACATCAGCTGAAAAAAAAACAACGGCAAACAAAACATTTTGTCATGAAAGAGGCTAAAGCAGCATCGAATATGCAACATAATATAATTCAAATATTTAATAACTTCCTATATAAATAAAAAATAAACAAAAAAAAAGTCACCTTATGAGATCTAGGAAGGCGTCAAGGGTAGAAACCGTCTTTTCTTCAGTTCCAGTACCAACTTCTTCCTTGATGGAAGGATCGCCAGGATGGATGATAATAACCAGCACGATGCCCACAACTGCAGCCAGAATGGTAGTTGAGAAGTAGTAAGCCAGCGCTCTAGCACCCATTTTACCGCTGGATTTAGGATCCAGCTGAGCAAGACCTGAGAGTAAAGTAAACATCGTGATGTAAAATATTTTCTTTGAAATTTTTATAGTCTTGTTCGTAGAAATTGACAAAAAGGGAAATATATTAGTCAGTTAAGGCTAAAAAAGGTTAAATATCCAAAGCCTTCCGTTTCGAGTTTAAGACAAATTTTCCTACATTCTGATCTTATCATAACTAAAAAAATATTCAGGTCCTCAAAACACAAAATTCAGCAAGATTATGTAGATATCAAATTCTTCCAAATATCACTTGCAGGCTATATAGAGCCCTTATCTTGCCTTAATCCACAAGCTGAAAATCATTTATCATGCCGCACTAATTGCGGATCAAGTTTTCCAGCACTTACCACAATTTACTAGTGTTGCGCACATAGCCTAGACACATAACTCAGAAAGTTTGTAAATGTCTTACGCTGTTCAATGCTAGTTTTACTAATAAATTTGAGACAAAGTTTCCAGGTATTATTTTGCCTTAATACAAGTGTTCAGAAACTACGTCCTTTTCTGAAATTAAAGAATAAATTGTGGCTATAAGTTTTTCTAAATATGCATTAATGTAATGTCAGTTATCTTCAACAAACTTCTACAAGGAAATGTCAGATGGGGTTAGGCTTGGTGCAAGCTGATCTACTGGGCTGTAATGAACTTGAATGTAGAAGTGATGGAGCAGCTAATCACGATTTCTCATTGTCCGACCGTTTGAAGCCATTTCGCTGGTAAGCTTTCCAGCCTCGTCCTAGTAAGACTAGTTGATAATCGTATATAACTCCATGCGCGTTCTACCATTAAAAAATGCTAATTTTTGCCACACGTGCTTTTCAAATTTAGCACATCTAAATTTTAGAAGCGTTAGCTTTTGTAATAAGCATAAAATAATAAATGCCTTTAAATAGCGGTGATAGACATGAACATATAATTTCAAAGCAATTAGTACTATTGTGCTGTTTAAATATGAATGGATAATTTAAATAGCAATTGTAAAATCAAAACTTTACACATATATAGTTTTATAACTAATATCTAAATAATAAAAAGGATGATCAACGAAATGGAATTTTTTCAAAAATCCTCCGACTGGTAAACAACAAGAACTGAAAAAATAAATTGATTTCTGGATAAAATAATGAAACTTCTAGTATTTTCCATACTTGATGTAAAAAAAAGTAATAAATTATTGCACGAAACATGATGAACAATACTAAGTGATAACGGAAACGTGAATTTCATTAGGAATTCAAAACCATGTTTCATAAATATAGTTTAAGTTATACAATTCATTATTCCCCTCTGAATATATATCTCATAATACCCTATCCGTATTATCAAAAACTTGAAAAGAATTATATTAAGAAAAAAATGCAAAATAGATTTTTTTATATCAAAAAGCAGATTTTTTAGGTTATAGCCTAGAATTTTAAGAGAAAGAGAAACTGCTATGGAGATACAGTGCAAATATTTTCCTTCTTTTCTTTTTCATGATATACGTCGCACACATAGAAATGCATACTATATGCAAAATATCATAAATCTAACTGTTGTTAGTTCCTTAATTATTTTATTCTTTTCCCTTAAAACTAACATTATACTGAAGGTATGTGTGTTGTTATTATAATAAAAAACTTTACTGCTAAAATGCCTTAAGGTTTTATTATTTACATTATAAAAATAAAGAATTACAATTATGTAAAAGCCAAAAAAATCCACAGAGCTCCTGTCCGATCGTTAACACTTATGCTTCAATGACTGTCCATTTAAATAATTTAAAATTATGTAAAAAAGATCACTCAAAGTTTCATTTTCAAAAACATCCTTCAGGTAATCAAAATTAATACTACCAATTCCACCCTGCTATAAAATATTATTTTACATATAGTATTCATGAAAATTTAATAAATAACATTTAAATAATATAACATTCGTTATGCTCAACATTATCTTATTTCCAACGTAAACTGCAAACAGTATTTTACATGTCAAAACGACCATGTCTAGTCTAACACAAAAGACAGAAGAAATAGTGAGAATGCAAAGGAAAATATGAATTACTGTATGTATAAAAACGATGTATTTGCGGAAGCTAAATTTTGAATTTTTAAAGCATAAGTTCTTTCTGAACGTCAAAGAGCACAGCAATAAACGGTTTTGTAGTTTTAAATTTAAAATATATAGAAAATATCACAGAGAATATTATCGATGTGCATGGCATCCCATTATAACGAGGGCCACTTTGTGGTAAGTAAATTAACTCATTTCCAGCCTCAGATGTCGGGCAAAATTTCCGTTGTACGAAATAAAGGAAGTATTGTAATCGCGAAAAGTTTTGTGTATCATATTTCAACGAAAATGTTCAATGTTCATTTTGACTGCTCTTGATTCATTTGAACGATGGGTTTGTGACATCTGTACGTAAGGTCAGAATAAAGAATTCGTTTTTCCAATACGGATCGCAAAATGGATTTAAAATGAATGTATTCAGAAGATTTTTTTCGTGACGTCTGTGTGTACGTATCTACGTATGTATGTATGTATCTCACATAACTCAAAAACGAATATCTGTAGAACCTTTAAGTTTTGTGTATACGACTGGTATGACTTGTAGTTGTTCACCTCCCTTTTTCGTTGTAATCGGCAGCATCAACTGCTCAGTTGGATCAGCGCAATCGGCTGTTACCTGCTCAGTGAGCTCAGTCTTTGTGTATTCTTATATATTAGTATAATGGACATTTTTAGCGAATTATGTTGTTCCTATGTACCGGTTAAGATTTTTTGCCTTTAATTAATCTGCATGCAATAATTATACAATTACCAACATTTTGAAAGTTTAAATGGTTTAACGAGATGTATATTTGTTTACATTTGAAACTCTTAGTAAAATAGTGAATGAAGTGAGTTGGTTTACCCACTTAAGTGCCTTTTTAGCCAGTGTGACCAAATCTTAAGTTTCATTTTTGTGCACCGAAAATTTTGTCTTCTTGCCCGCTGGCCGAATTGTTTGTTTTAGCGTAGAAACTCTAATCTTAATTGTAAAACTTGTTTTTTTAACACTTTTTAATTGTATTTTTTATTTTAGGTTTTTCTGTATTTTATAATTTTTAATGAAGATTGAGTTTTTATGTATTTTTGCCTTGCCGCCAAAATGAGAAGTTCATTGATTGAATTAGAAATATATCTCTAATGAAGTTCTAGGAAATAAATTTAAATGAAGTGCAACAAAAATTTGTGTAGTTTGATAGGCCGTAAAAGGCATATGATGCCCACATCAGATATTAACCTATATCATAATGAAAAGCACATACTGTTATGGAGTGGTCATTCAAGAATATGTGAGCATTATTATCAAACTAGGGGGAATCTGTCTTTTAGAAAAGTCGTTATCTAAAGCATATTTTTGGAAAATGAGCAAGCTGGCGTAGACGTATGTTAGTTTAGTTTCTGTGAAATCACAAATACAAGGAAATTGGGTATCATGTAAAAATGACAGATTTCAAAATTTTGGAGGTGTTCTTGACATTACTGTATAGATCTTTTGTTATTAAAACTAGTATTTTCAAAGTTGTGAACTTTTCTTTTGTTGAAATTCACAGCAAAACCGCAGAGATTTCAGTCATTATGAAAATATGGATCTTAACCGAACATAGATATGGTTTTGGCTATATTCAATAGCAAAGCAAAAGAAGAGGAGCAATTTAAGTCACCATTTTACGCTCGCTTAAAAAGGAATTCGGAAATAATCATATAAATGTTATATTTAATTCCAAAAATAATATTTAAAGTTATTTAACGCAGTAATAGCAACTCAGTCACATTTCAAGAATGGCATTAAAGTATAATTTCATACTTTAATGGTTCAAATTAAAATCAAATATATGAAGCGGATAAACATGTTTTTTACAAGTAAACTCTTCAAAGTATTTTATATCTGGTTGTAATGAAAGTTTTCCGCCAAAAAAACGCTCTTATTAAAGCTACGAAAAAAGAAACATAAAAGCAGTGTGGGTAATAATCATCACCCACATCTGTGACTTTCTGTCAACGTTTGGTTAGTTTTTCAAAGTCTTCGGACCAGCAAATTGGTGGCTGCTAGTCCGAAAACAGATCAAACTCATTTCTGTCGTCTTGTTCAGAATGGAAGACAACACCAGCAAAATGTAGCTGCAGGTTTGACAAAATGTGGGAGTCCGAAGGAGCGATATCGGGGCTATACGGTGGGTGTGTAGCAAACAATCCCATTCGAGTTCATTTGAAGAACAAAATGCAAAATATTTTGCTTCTAAGCATTGATGTTGAAAGGATAATTAGTAAAACTCATCATTGATAAGGAAAAGGATTAAAAAAAATTATCGAAATCAATTCAAACAAATATTAGTAAATCAAACATATACAAATACATTGAAAATAAGTATAATGGGGTAAATTAAGTATAGTTTATATAAACAAATAATGCTTTATAAAGGATAATAGTCTTTAATGAGATATTATTTTAAAATTCAAAGCATTTATTATCCCTATTTCTAAAATGTCTGTAGTCCTGTAATTTTCTCTTTTCAACAGAAATAATGACAAAATGATCTATTTTATAGAATTGTATTAATAATGTAAAATACGTACATTGTATAAATAATATATGGAAGGGAAAATAAGTAAAAAATACAGGCAAGACAAAGATTAGTAAGTAAGTTTAGAGCATTCTTTTTATACTAGGTTTTTGGTTATCTGATTGTAAATTAGATTTAGTTGTTTTTTCCTCCGGAAAAAAATCAATAGGATTATTCTAAAATAACAGGTTTAGATGATTAACCTTGGCATGTTGGCATAATAAGTTTAATTTACAAAATTTAAGGAACAATGCTTTTAAAAGAGTATCAAAGAAAATACTTTTTATTTGCAAGAAAATGGGACTCAGTAAATTACTAATCAGGATTTGAATCTGAAAATTACTATAGTTTCTCGCCAAAACTGTGATTATTTGAGTTCGGTAGATTATTTAGTAAAAATCATGTTTACAGAAAATATTTGATGACACCTTATTTTTTTAAAGAAACATTGAGAAAAATCATCTGAGGAACCGTCATTCAAGAAAACAAAATATTTTTCATAATCAACAGTAAATTAAAATTGGTATTCTAAGCTAAAATATTTGACATTTGAATCCTAGAGATTCGAAATATGCATGTCCTGTCAGAACGCTGCATAAGCTATGGATACCTAAATGTTCTAAATAGAGATTTAAATCAAATAAATTTTTTCTGAATCATAGGATACTTTCAAGTGGTCCGTGACACTTAGCCGATAAGACACTTAACCGACAGAGCATTTAACTGACACGGACACTTAGCCGACAGGACATTTAGCCGACACGGACACTTAGCCAGCAGGTCATTTAGCCGACACGGACAGTTAGCCGACAAGGACACTTAGCCGACAGGACATTCAGCCGACACAGAGAGTTAGCCGTCAGGACGTTTAGATACGGGACATTTATCTGTCACGACATTTAGTCAGTGACGTTTAGTTACGCCGACAGTGACGTTTACCTGACACGTACCCAATAATTATTAAACTTACTATCAATTACAAAATTTCTCGACTTCTCCATAAGTTCAATATTTAAGTCATTTTTTTCACCTATCAGTAAGATTCAATTTTCGATTCTTAAAGATCCCAGATGTTCTTTTAGTAGATCTTATGCAATTTAGCGTAGTTTGATATATATCGTTTTGTTTGGTATATATTGGCCAAATTGAAAAAGCGTTGAAATTTCTTGTCAGGGAATATGAATTAATTTTCGAAAGGAAAAAAAGAATTTTTTTTTAGCCAAGTACGACAGTCACTTAGTTACATTTTAATATGGGATCTGCAAAAATTCTCGGCTCAGGCAAACATGAGAGGTACGCTGTGATGGGTTCCCGCGTGTGATCGCTAACCCGGTGTAATGCGGTGCCGATTTTCTGTTCTGTTTTGAGTTCCGAATAATTCTTTAGAAGAATGAATACATAGTTCATAATAAAATATGCAGCGTGGGTAGCAAAGTCTGATAAACAACGAAAGCACATAGAGAGTCCGATCGAGAGTAACACCTGAAGCTCTTAGCCGTTGAAGATTACTTGAACAAAAACACAGCCGTGATTACAAAGACATTAATGACAGAATAGCAATTACAATTACTGAGAGTAAAACAAATGCCTTATTTGCCAAAAACAGTTTCTAGACGAGAGTGTGAGTGTACAATACTGATATATAACAATTAAAATACTGTTGCGTGCGTACGGGTTCGTAATAAATTCAATGCACAAGTCCGATAAAAAGTAAATAAAACTTATTATTATCAGAATAACTAAAACAAAATGCTTAAATTTCCACAGATATGCGCACAATATTGCAATATGTGACAGTAATCTTTTAAACTACTGAAACGTTCAACAGAACTTAATTCAAAATAAAGAAAGCTAATCCGATTTCACCGCGAATTCGCTACAGTAAACAACAGCAGTCTCCTAAAACCTCTTAAAACAACTGAGCTGAGATGTCTTTTCTCTAGCTTTTATAAGCTTTTTAATCAGCAATTCAATAATTTTCTCGATTTCTCCCGAAAATCAAAAGCGTACAATTACGAGATATCTATTTATTAATGCGCTTGCTCCTGTATTTTTAAAATTTCCGGCGTAGATTTCTATTCAAATAAGTCGCATTTATAAAGGTCTAGCCTAAAAAAACAATTTTTGTTGGAACAGACTGGTAATATATCAAGTACAAAGCGTTCACTCTCTTTCTGTTAGGCCCAGCAACGGCCGAGCAGTAAAGTTGCCGAGCACTGGTAGTTCGGTCCAAATTTCGAATCGAGCGAACGAACAGGCTGCATAGGTGTTTTCGTGGTTTACTCCATTTGTAACATGTATACGAGCCAGTTTTCCTTACAAAGTCCTCTACGAAGGTATTCCTACCCTTAGGCAGATAGCCCTCTGGCTTTGGCGTAATTACATAAACCAAACAAAACCCAACCCACTTCTGTTAGGTGGTCGCAGGAAACGAGGCATGAATTCCTGGGCCGAGCCCTATCTCAGATTAATAAATATACGATGCCTAACCTGTAAATAGCATTCTGGGATGTAAATGGCATTTCAGGGAAAAAAAAAAAAAAAAAAATCCAGTGCGGCGAGGAGTAGGGCGAATCACGCTACTTCCTGACAGGAAAAGGAAATTTTATTAGGGAAGAAGCAAAACGACTTTATAAGGGAATGAATGTAGCATAATCTCTTGAAGCGAAGTAGGAATAAAATGTGAAAGTATTAGAAACCTGAAAGCATTGGGAAGAGCAAGACTCACTGTCGGTTAAATGTTTTGTTGGCTAAGTGTCCTCGTCGGCTAAATGTCCGTGTCGGCTAAATGTCCTGTCGGCTAAGTGCCCCTATCGGCTAAATGTCTTGTCGGCTAAGTGTCTGCTACCGAATTTCAAGAACTTCAATCCAGCGCAAAAACCTCTTATATTTTAAACTGGATTTGCAAAATTTTATTAATAAAATGTTTCGTGGAGCGCTAAAAGAATCTAAAATACGCATAATCGAACGAATACGGATATCAGTTTAAAAAAATTTAAATATTCTTGTCGGACAAGTGTTTATCACCCAAACGTCTGCCATCGCAGATACAAATTTTAAACAATAACATGTAATATGCTTTACAAAGAATAAATATCGTGGTCACTTTAAATTCTATGCTTCGCTCTTTAAAAACCTGGTGTAAAATAATGTCATGCCATTGTGGATTATAATGTAATTTGAGTATGTAACATTTCAAAATCCATGAAATAATTCATATTAACCAACATACTCTAGAAAAGTGCTTCTGAAATTGATCGAAGGAATAAGCATTCTATTGCGAGATTACTGCTTTATTTATTACCAGATAATTTTGCTGATTAACTGCTGAAAATGATCCGTCAAAATAGATGAAACGTAGCGAAAGATATCTTTCAGTATACGTAAATTGTCTTGAGAGAATTTGTTCTTGTTCATAGCAATGATTGAAGCATAAAAGCTGTGAGAATAGAAATATCTCACACTACGCAGTTCGTCATCCTGGCAAAATTAATCTTAATCGCGGAACTGAACGTGTATATTTATGCACAGGTCAGACTAGTTCCTTCCTTTTTTTTCGCCCGTGTCCTACCTGCTCTTGCTTGGCCATCTGCGAGACCGCACGATGCGCGAGGCTTTGCCCCTGCATATCTCGCTGATGGAGTTTCATCGTTCTTGCATATTCGCACATGGAGTGTCGTCGTTCATCTGCATAAAAGGAAGCAGAGCTAAAAGATGCAATATTTAGATGAAAATGCTTAGTTGAAATTCAATCTATGCTAACATTCTAAAACATCTCAAGTAAAGTGTCAATATATATTCGACGCAAGAAAGTGCATTGTCAGCGGTCTCCACGTGGTGCTTTTCAGTGTGTTAATAAAATGTAAAGTGAAAAAAAAAAGAGCTTGCGCCTGTGTAATACGGATGTGTGAACTGCACGTAATTAGCATGAGAAAATTTCGACTGTATATATGTAGATTGTAATTTGTCCGATGATAGACACTTTTTCGGCATTCGTCCACTGTTCCATTTTTAGGTTCTCACGTTTTGTGTTCTAAGTTATGATATTTTGATATTTTATGTGCTGTGTGATAAGTGTTATATATTTAATCCAGAAAATGTGTTTTTGATAAAATAAATGTGAGATTAGAAAAAGAAATTTGTCTCCGCAAGTCTCATACATGTGGGTTATTGGGTAAGTGAAATATTTAATTGTTCTTGTTACTAGGGTTTAATTAGCAATGTACTACCACTAAGAATTCAGGACAGTAAATATTGTACACATGTAAATTGATAAAGGATTTCTAGATATATATTTAGGTAGATTGTCACATTACAGCACCTCCTAGTAGTCTACATCACTACAAAAGCTTACCTGATACCATGGATGAAATAATAAGAGGAAGAATAAGCATCTTTAACATGCGCATTAGAATATCGCCTGGGAATGAGACAAGAGCCACCACGTCATCGTTGTACTCTCCCATCCGAGCCAGGAAACCCACCAGGATGCCGATGAGTACACCTGCGATCGTCAGCATAAGTAGAAGATTCATTCGCATCCATTTTAGTATGGGCTAAAGTAATGATAAAACCAGAAAGGTTAGTAAGTTTAATGACACAGATAATTTTTTTAATCATAAGATGCTAATTAAAATATCTACGATACTGTACAACGCGTCAGCGAAATCTCTATACCTCTACACTAGTTACGTAGATATATCGGTTAACAATTACTTCATATTAGAGTGCATGTCTGTAAGTATGATTTAATCAGTAATAGTTTTATCAAGATATATATAATATATAGTGTGATAATGATAATAAAATGTAATTACCCATGAAAACAAGCCGTGATGGCATTTCTGGATTAAATACGACTTTATTGTGCATAGAATGTCGTGCAACACGCACCTCTGTATTAGTTAGGTGCACAATCTGGCAACAAAATATTAACATGTAACGAAAGAAATGAGTAGATGTTTCTCTTCAAAAGAGAGAATATCATATTTTCAAGGCTCCCTAAAATAAAAGTTTTGCATTGAACTATCTATTGTGGAATTTTAAGATATGAGAAATTTGCGCCTTGTGGAATACATTCATTTATGCATAGATAATTGTAAATAAAACCTTTTTGTTCTATTTTGTTGTTGTGACTAATCTCGCTTGTCTGAAATCAGAGCAAGGATTCAAAAGTCGTGGCAAGGAATCAGGCTTGCCCCTTTTGTTGGGCACAATACAGGCGATAGTACGACGTTGCTCAATTCCGCCCTCAATTTTAAAGTATAGCACCTTCGAGGTACGGGTCCGAGGGCCTTTGGTATGGTAGGTCAGAGTCACTAACCACTATTCCTGTTGAACGGCTAATTGTTCTATTGTAGAGAAAAGTTGAATTTCAGAACCACCCACATCAGATGCCACAACAGACTGGAGCAAGTCGCCTGGATGTCTCAATCTATTTGGGTATTTGTGAGTAACCTTATTGATTACTTTTTACTGTTTGGATTATCGTTCATCAATCGGATTACCAAGATAGGAAATTATTATTATTGTTGCACTAAAATGTTTCATAAAGTTTATGGACGATCTTAGACTGATCACTGAAGAGTTAGGCGAAGTTGTAAATCCAGATTTAAAAATCGAGATTTAGTTCCTCTTATTACGAATAATATAAAGTTTTTATACATGATCCAAAATAAATAAAAGAGTTATTTCAATCGATAATTGATGAGCGGCAGGATAAGGTAGAATGATTAAAATCAGAAGAGCAAAATAAGATAGAAGCTGAAAAAAATTAAACTAGAAGCACTGAAAGCCCAAGAACAATTAGAATAATGTATAAACATTTTTAAAAACTTTGAAAGTAGTGGAAAAGAAATGAATTCCAATTTAAATATCTGAATACGATATGGAAACGAAACATCGATCGTACAAATTCTGAAATTTTTAATAATACCTGTTGCATCGAAACCACAGTATTGGAATATAATTTTCTGGATTTAGAACAAGTGTTTAGGATAAAAAACGATCCCAGAAGTTATTAAAGGAGAAATGTTCTCTAATTTACTGGGAGAAAATGCACCTAGTATTTTAGTTTATATTAGTGAAGAAAATTTAAAATATTATAAAGGAATAAAATTGAAAATTCTGAAGGAACCTGTCACACAAGTTTGTTTGGAAAGCCTCAGCGACAACGAAATAAAATGCATTTGTAATTCGCGTCAAGTATGACAACTAATTGGTAATATTACTTTTACAAAACGTAACAGATTTCTTGTCCTTAAAACAACTGATATTTGCGGATAAAATATATTAAATTATCTGTTCTTATAATTCTAAATCTGCATCGTACATTAGTGTTCAGCAAAGTAGTAAATACTAAATTATTGTGTCTTAATTATTGTGTCTTAAGTAGTAAATAGCTTAAATCTGAGTTAGTTAAAGAATGCGATATGTTTTTTACATCTAATGGTAAACGTTAGAGAATTAAAGTAACTTAGAAAATCATAAAATAAGGAATGCTGCTTATACAGAACAAATTATTTAGCTTGTAACTGCCCTAAAAGCTTTGGAAAATCTAATGTTAAAAGCAAAAACAAAGGGTCACGATAAATATGTTATTGTCGCTATAATTCGTTTCGCAACATTTTCAAATAAAACCATGTATTTATATTGGGGCACTAAACACTCCTAATATTTTAATCGAAGGAAAATAATAAGAAACAACTTTAGAAAGTCAGAGCACAGCTATATATTCAGAAGGTATTCCTAACTAAGTCAAGGTAGATGTGAAATTGCTTTTAGATTTGCATTAAGCAAACATGTTTAGGATTTCGGGTAGCATCAAAACACGGAGATGGAAATATCCATCATCCCACTGAAGTTATTGCAGCTTTTTTGAATAAATTAAGCACTTCCTGTTTGATACTCCAAATGTAAGAAACGTTCACTCAAAGATGTTCCTTTACTGAGGATAGGGAGGAAAAACATCGATGAGTGAAGTCCAATTAGTTCATCATCTAATACCAGCGCGGAAAAATTGCGTGTTTACAGATAAAAACTGGCGATTTAACATCTGTGGAATGTATTAATGTTTCAGTAAAAAGAAAATAAATTATTCAATTTCCAAAATGCTAAACTAAAAGATAACTTATGCAAATATTGCACAATACATAAAGTTAGAAGAGATTTAAAATTAGAAAAAGGAATTTTTTTATAAATTGATAATTTGATTTTTCTTAAATACAAAATTCTAGGAGAAACTGTAACCGAAACAGATTCACTTTATGATTATAAGGAAAGGGTATGCAGTTAGCCCATGAATCTTCATTCAGTAGCTATATGAGAATTTGAAAAACAAAGAATACGTTACTATGCATAAAAATAGTAAAACTGTCATCTCGAACAGTCGCGAAAACATCTGACAGAGCTCTGACTACCGTTGTAGAGAAACCATCACTAACTTAGGAAACTGTAAACATTGATAATGTTGGGAAAATAAATCCTCCTTCCGAAAGAGGGCACAGTGATATTTTATGTCTCATTGATCAGAATTCACGTTGGCCGGAAATAGTCCTCTTGTATTTACAGTGCTGGACAAATGCTACGAACGGATCGCAAACTGCAGTAGCATAACATTAAGCTGGCCTGAGGATAAACAGAATAAAATATTGTTGTCACACTGTTTGAACATTAGGCTAAACGACATTTCTTGATCAGGGAAATAAAGAAAATTTTCAAACAGCCAAAAGTAAAACAGTATTCCTTTGATGTTGTATACGGAGAAATGAGAAAATCCATATGAACGACAGTAGATATCTTCGAAAAAGGTGTTAGTACAGGATTTGCCCACCGTGGAGTCCAATGCAACTTTCCACCCGTCGTAAGCATGACATTACCCAGCAGCTGTTGAGGTAATTGATCCTACTTCTCTGTTAATGCACGGATGATGGCATTCTTGTACATTGAAAAATATTTTCGACCAACAAGTCGCCTTTCCACAGCATCCTACAGATTTTTAAAGGGGCTTAGAGAACGTGCTGGTCATACGAGGCGTTGAATATTTTTGCAGACTAGACCAGAGTTTCTTAAACTGTGAGTCACAGGACCTGCAGCAAGGGGGTCGCCAAAAGTTTTAGCAGTTTTGATATTTCTTTAACTTATTATAATAATTTTACAATTACAAAATATTTTTCACATTGTATCTCAAAATAGATAAAGATAAGACAATACAGACAAAGAGAAAACGAAAACGTTTCGACGCATTCTTTTTATAATATAAACGCTCATTTTACTAGCTTTACACGTGACACTGTCATTTCGTCTGTTAATCATTTAAAATTTTCACATTGTTCTATGTCTTAAAATTAGAAATTAAAGTTAATGACCTAAAACTGTAATAGTATATTACAATACAAGTGAAAAAATTGACAGTTTCACTCACGTGTGTGTCGGATTTGCGCAATGATTATTGAATCCCCCAAAATTTTCGTAAATGTTATGGAGTCCTGGGGTCGCAAAAAAAAATCCCAATGGTAAAACAGGTTCACGACTGAAAAAAGTTTAAGAAGCTCTAGTGTAGACAGTCTTGATCAGGGGGTGTTTGATGACATTGTGCGTTGTCGTCCATGAAAAGAAATTTATCACCAGAAGCACTTTGTCATCTACAAAAGCACTACGTAAAAGATGAATATATGGCAGTAGAAATTAATCAATGTATCATTGGTCGGTCATAGTCGTAGTTACAAACACATGTAGAGATGTGCAATCATTGATCAGGATATTGGTCCATACTGTCTACAATCAGATGTCAGACTGAAAATATTCTCATGTGTCAAGAGTACGCAAGCCTAGTCCTGCTCAGTCCATTTGCGATGCTCACACTCTTTGCACAATGGAACACACAAAGGAGGTCTGCGGGGGTAGAGTCCTTCTTTACGCAAACGTCTGGCTACAGTTTTTCGGAAGTTAGCTGTTCTGCGGCAGCGAGAAACTCATTCACCACTTGCTGAGCTGTGGCTCGCACCGGTTTCTGTTTTACAGGTAGTTTTTTCGCAGTTTATTTCGTTCTGCGATTAGCCCTCTAATATGCACAGGTAATTGTTCATGGGTATGTTTTTGACTGTCAAAAGTAATAGCTTCAGGCTGAAAATCCTGCAGCTTGGAGGTGTGTGGGGTTTTACTTTTAGTTCCACATTTCTTCAACATCGAAGCTGACGTCACGTCCTGACTTCTCCCTCTAGCGCATATATGTTGTGTGTGTGGAGGTAGGAAGTAAAGTCCTTTCTTACCTCCATACTAGTGCATGCGAGACAAAGAATCTTGACTCTGACAGTCTGATTTCTCCCTCTACCGCATGCGCACTTTAAATCACGAATTTTCGGGACAGTTAAAAGAAACTTTTCCCTTCTGTTTTACAAGTTCATGTACACACTCTTTTCATTGCTCAGATTAATATAATTCTAAAATTATGTATATATTTTGATTTATTAAAAGAAGTTAATCTTTACAAATGGTCATTTACGATCATCTAAGAACCCAAAGAATAGCTGTTTCAATATCACTTTTGAGTTGCCCACATTCAATGGGGAAGTCAATGCAATATTGTGGAAGAGTTTAACAACTTCCCTCACGTATCCAATCCTTTAAATCTTTTATTAGAATTGATTATTTTTATCCTTTTTTATTTAAATCTTTTATCATCAGGTAAGATATTGAAAATCTGCGTGCGCAAACATCTTCTTACAATACGCTTAAACTCATTTTTCAAATTTTGCTTCCTTTGATTTGTGGTTGCTGGGTCGATAGTGATTTATTCGGCCTTAGGAATTATCATCCAATGGTGTAAATTACTTAATTTTACACACATATAATTTATGATTTAAATCTTCCTGTAAGAGAAAAATACAAAAAAATATTTGCGTAGCGGTTTGGTGGACGCTTGTATAATTTTCTTTTTTATAAAAAGAAACGTATATTATTGACTTAATGTTTCAGCATAGATTAAGGTCTTCTTTAAAGACCTCTAGTTTAAAGTCGTCTTTAAAGGCAAAACAGAAATTTTTGGTAGTTATGAGGCATAGTGTTGTCAGTATTTATAGTATATATATATAAACCAATATTAAAAATAAATTAAAATTTGGGAATTTTAGTTTAAATTTTTAAAAAATGTTTGTCGTCTTACATTTTGTCTGGGAGCTTCTGTTAAACTGCCCATCATTGGGACTTTGGCGTTGGCGTCGGCCTTGGAATCTGCGGGCATCTTCACGCAGAACTACTACTCCTCAACCTGAAAAAAGATTGCATATTTAAAACTAGAAAACTTAACCAAGTTTTCAGCGACAATATTTAATCAATAATAATATATAGCAATATTTGTCAATTTCTAACTGAAAAGATCTAAGGTGAAAGATACACTAGTTTACATTATTATATGAAGAATGAAAACAAAAGTGAAATAATTTTACTAAAAATATTTTGTAAGCTAAGTTTTTCCTAAAATATTCAAACAATTGCCCAACTCAAAAACAACGCCATGGAGATTAAAGAAATAAGCAGGATAATATTCCGTTCAGTGTAAATCTAAATCTGAAACGAAACAAATTTTACTTGAAGATTGTTAGAATATTTTTGTTTATTAGGGAAACGTTATATCCAGATATCAAATATTAAATCAACTTTTAACCGATTCTGTTTCTTCAGTTTATTTATACAATATAAGAATATAAGTTTCCACAAACTTATGTTTCTGTAAAGATCAATGGATATCTATTTATTATACTCTCTCTTTTCAAGTATTTTTATTACTTAAAATTGAAAAGATGTGCCAGTTGTTATATATTACGAAGGTAATGTAGAGTTTGTCTCTGAATTTTGAAGATGATATAAGATTTTTTTTTGTTGTTTTTGTTTTCAAGTAATGAAAGCAATTTAAATTGAATTATATATAATGGCTCTTTGATGTATATATATACCAAAGAGCCTTTACATTATGACGACCCTCCATTTATAACTATGGGCTCGCCCAGGAGCAAAACCACTGCGCGTGCGCGGCTGATGTTAGACTATATAAAGCAGCTATGCATTTATCAGACTTCGATAACGCAGCTGACTGGCTGAGCGACATTGTCTCCAAATAGTCTGCAAATATCTAACTGTGCAACTCTGTGCAACTTTCGATGTTGTGAATAATTAATATTTTTTTCATTTTACAAATTAATTTAATTTTGCAACATGTATTGTTTTTTATCATGTACTTGCAACAAGATCTTATGAAGTAGTTGCCAAGCCCCTCCCCATCGTTTTCTGATTCGACGATCCACGTCACGTGACCCTCAGCGTTGCATGGACCTTCCTCCCGTCGATGTGAACTTCAGCCAGGCAATTCCCACACAGAAGCAACGAGCTTCGCTTCTCTTTCCCTTCAGATTAGCCTCTTTGGGAGAAACTCTCTATCTGAATTCCTCACCGTCAGGCCCAAAAAAGGATTAAATAAGGAATTGGTAAGAGCAGGCTAGAATTACCTGCTGAACACCAGTATAGCCCTAAAGATCCAAAATTCCAGACTTCGATAAAGGCCAAATCGTTATGGCTCAGCAAGTGGGAACATCAATATCAGAAACGGCACATTTAGTGGGCTGTTCACGTGCAGTTGTTGTGAGCCATATCGAAAGTGGTGTATGGATGGTGAGACGACAAAGTCGCCGGCCTGCGGTGTGTCGTCGACAGCGCACTGATTTCAGAAGAGAGCGGAGATTGCTACGCTTTGTTTGCTGTGACCGAAGACTACAACAGTCAAAATCACCACCAGCTGCAATAGTGGCGACCCAGACAGTGTGCAACACACTGTGCAGCGTATAATGCGGCGCATGGGCTTACGCAGCCAGAGGCCGAAACATGTCATCGCCAGCTGCGGCTGTAATGAGCCAAGAAGCATCGGAAATGGGCATTAGAAGAAGGAAGAAAATTGCATGGTCTGACGAATCACATTTTCAGGTCATCGAATGCCGTTTGCTAATACGCCGATTTCCAAACGAAAACCTTGCTGCCGGATGCACAGTTGGATGGAGACAAAACGGTGGCGGGAGATATTATGGTGTGGGCAATGTTTTCATGGAGCACATTAGGACCCATAATCCCCATAGAACAATCCCTGACGTCTGTGCGCTACGCGAACATCGTTGCATACCAGGTTCACCCATTCATGACAACAGTATTTCGGGCGGGGGATGGTATTTACCAACAGGATAATGCACCATGTCATAAGGATTGAATCGTCAGGGAGTGGTTCGAGGAACATTTCAGTGACTTTTAAGTCATGGTCCCACCTGGAAAACCAAATCTGTGCTGCCAAGATACCTCTTCGCAATCTGCGCGAATTGCAAAACCAGTTTGTTCAATGCTTGGTACCAAAATACACTCTTTTCCAAAAAAATTGAAGCACCAAGAAGGTCTTTTGCGATTGTGACGAAATTTGGTGTGCGAAAGCATCATGATCGAGCATCCAAATGATCAAAGTTCTAAGGAAAATGAACAAGAATTGCGATCATAGCGCGCATTTCTAATGCGCAATTGGCAAAGTATAAAACCAGTAACAGAGGCAGAAAATTTATCTTTTTTAGTTGCTGCTATTATAACTCCGCAAAGAAGCAACTAAAGATGACATTAGGACGATATCGAAGATCTTACGGACAGGTGACAGGTGACGGAGGACGGGGACGCCTGATGTTTAACAGAGGTAAACAGGCATATGTCCCGCGCCCTCCCCTATCTAGTGGCAGCAACTCCCAGGAGCCTCATGAGGCCACCTTGGGAGTTTATTGAAGAATTTTACGTAATTGTACATGGCCATACAGAGGCGTCTTAGGAATACATTAGTTTTGATCGATAGGCGGATGATTTGTTACATCTTGGTTTTTAGACACTGTTAGACACTAATTACAGCATATACATACACATACAAGTACATACAATTGCACATATAAAGATACATACAAAACACTTGTAAAACACATATAAAAGCACATATATAACACATATAAACATGTAAGCACATTATATAAAAATAGAAATTAGATACTAGTTTGCACACACTTATACAAGTAAAACACATACTTATAATGAAACATATTTAAGCTAATATATAGTATACACTTACACTAAAGACACATTTAGATCATTTAGACACATTTAGATCACATATGACATGTAAAATGCGCAAATAAAGCATGCAGGCACACTGTAGAATATTAAATTTTGTTATTAGATGATATAGTAATTACAGATGAAACTTTACTCTGGAGAATACATTATGCAATATATTATATCAGGTACACAATACTTATTTAATTTGAATAGATATGCAGCGCTTTTTATATACATAATGCTTACAGAATTGATACACAATGTAAAAACAGATACACTATGCTTGTAAAGCATTAAATATTAGAATTTATACTGCGCACAATTGTACAAACGAAATAAGACACTATACTACTATATACAACACAGTTATGGTGTACAATTATGCAAACACAATTATACTAACGTATTAAAACGCAGAATAAAACACTATACTACGGTATATAACACAATTGTGCACAATTATATAAACACAATTATACTTACACATTAAAAAAAATCTATACTATTGTATACACACAATTATAGTACGCAGCACCATGCATGCTAAGCTTGCCAAGCTATATATTTCTATGCGAAGCTATGAGATTATACAGGTAATGCAGATACAATTTTGATAGATATAGATGAATTATACATTATGCATATGTCAGATACAGTGCAGATATAATACAGATAGTTTGAGTAATACAGATATGGTGTGCAGGCAATAACTGTAGTGGAGACACTATGTTATAGAATGCGCTGAGCTTATTTTATATTATATTAGATGCACAGTGTTTATTGGATTAAAGTAGGTACACAGTACTTTTTATATACACATTGCTCACAGAACAAATGCACAGTGCAAAGTCAGATACACAACAGGTTGTAAGGTATTGCAGGTAATGCACACGCAATGTAGATAGTTGCATAGTAATTATATGCTTTATATACAGCAGATGTGCAGAATTTGACAAATTCAGTGCAGAATGAGGTGCATATTTATTGCAGATAGTTTGTATAACGCGTTTGTGTAATACAGTACTGGCAATGACTGTAGGAGAAACACTATGTTGTAGAATACACAGTGCATATTAGTATTGTAATAGATACATAATGCTTGTTATATACACAATGCTTACAGAATGGTTACACAATGCAAAGTCGGATACACATTTGTTTTACACTGTTCAGTTAAGCATGGACTAGCATGGACATGCAAGTAGTAACCTGTGATTAGTCAGTGTTGAGCTCTGTACACTGTTGATAAGTTCTGTACACGATTTGTCAGGGCGTTCCAATTACTCTGCGCACAGTACCTTATACACTGATATATAACTTGCAGTTGTTGTAATAACTGTGGTTATTCCAGGAAATACTTCTATAGATATTTCAGTCGTTGTAACTACTACAGAGACACAATGCAGGTAGCAGTCTGTTCATAGTCAGTAGTTTGCTCTATACGCCGTAAGTGAGCACTGTACGCAGTAAGCAGCTATGTCTCTTAAAAAAAGAAAAAAAAAAGTACAGCGCTTAGGGACATTTCAGTTATATATACAGTTGCAGTTATGTTTATAAAGCGCAGCACATAATTTAAACATATTGTAAGTTGCATTCAGCTGATTGTCAGTATAAGAGACTGTCAGAATTCTGTTGATGATTTGGTAGTGAAAGCTGACTGTGGTTGCTTTATGAGACGCCTTAATTGACGCTAGTTTGGTTGGCAGATATCTTGCCCTAGGTCGTTGACCTGCCTAATTATTTGGCAGATCGTTTTGACCGCTGGTGGGTGCTTAATGATGAATCGTTTATATGATTCTATATTTGTGGCTGCAACTAAACGACTTCGAACCTGGTTGCATTGTAGGGTTGCGTGAAGCTGGGTAGTCATAGCGAGCAATAGGCCGCCACCTGCAGCGTGCAGACACTGCTGTGCAAAGATGTTGGCAGCAACGGTTGCTACAAGGAAATTGCCGACGAAATGAAGGCTTTAGAAGGCCAAGGAGCACAAATGCGAGGCAAGATAGGATGACTGCTTGCCAGGCCCGAACCGCCCCAACGGTATCATTTTCGACTATTCAACGCGCTACAGCCACGTATATACCTCCCGTGGTACTGTCCACCATCCCACGGCGCTTGTTCTGAAGCTGGGTTACGCTCACAGAG